TGTCCCCTGAGGGATACCGCTCCTTGGAATAATGCTGTTGGACAGAGCACTACCGATTTTGACTTGTTGCGACCTTCCCGTCAAGAAGGCCCCAATCCATCTAATTAAGGCCTCATGCACCCCCAAATCGCGAAGCTCAGATACCAAAACAGAATGATCCACCAGGTCAAATCCTTTGCTTAAGTCCGTAAACAAGATGCGAGCATAGCAATAGCTGTTGTCAAGCGCTTCTAGGATACAGTGAAGCAAGTAAACGAGCGCATGCGTAGTTGATCTGCCTGGGAGTGCAAACTGTTTTAGATCGATTTTATCGATGACTTGATTAAATAGGGGGGCTAACATGAAACCCTCAAATATTTTAGCTGTTTGAGACGTTAAAGTAATTGGCCTTAGATCGTTCTTACTACATTTAGGTGGTGAATATTTAGGGAGGGGCGTGACTACAGACTCCTTGATCTGATAAGGGATGAATCCTTACACTAACGAGGCATTGTAAATATCAGTAACTACTGGAGCAAGTTCAAAAGCAAATTCCTTCCAAATCTTGTTAGGAACCGCTGAGGGCCCAGGCGATTTATTGTTCTTAAAATTCTGACGTTTGCCATTTGCCGTGCGGAGCTTTAAAAACTCTCCACTTTAGCAAGGACATGCGCGAAATGTATCGTGTCGTCGTTTCAGAATGCGCATCCATTGTTGGGACCTGGGAACGACGTGCCAAATGCGTCACGAGACTCTACACCGTGACGTGACGCACGGCCAACAACGCAATGATGGCGGATGCTTGTACAATGTAGGATGCTGGTTTCGTAAAAAGGATCAATTCTCTTCGCCAAACTTCATCCTCATTAACAGCGCAAATACATTATGGCGTCTTTTGTTCGATATTCTATTCGTCCAGTCAGTCGGATGATTGATCGCAGGCTCTTCATTTCATCGTGTTCATTTGTTCGATGGAAGTCTGTTTTGGCTCAGCAGTCCGAGGTAAGCTTTTATAGCTTCAAGTTTATTTGCTCAGTCTACTGTGGCTACATTGTAGCATTGTGAAAATGCTGCTTACTTGTCTGGTTAACATAAAGTACAACGTAGACTCTTATGTTTTATTGTAACAACAAGTAAAGTGAGCTTATAAAGCTTAAATAAAGCTTCTTGTTGTTGTTGCAAGTTTTCCCTGTTTCGAACGTCGTGCTGCTGACATAATTATTGGTACCGAAACTTGGTTATCTTCTGCCCATAGCTGTACTGAGATGTTATTTGCCAGCTTGTACCAAATAGAAAGAAGAGACAGGCGGCAGACCCACACCGTCGCCACACGATGGTGTTCTGATTGCTTATAAGAAATATCTTGATGTCACCAGGGAGAATGATATGAAAACAGATTGTGAAATCTTAAGGTGCAGTGTTCAACTAACTGGCTGCAATACCATCTATCTGGGAGCTTATCATAGACTGCATGAAGATGATGAACAATCCTTTCTAGAGCTTGAAAGGTCACTGACTCTAATAAAAGATCACCATCATGTATTACTAGGTGGTGATTTCAACCTCCCAGGGTTAGTCTGAATTTCATCCGATTACGTTGAGTTATTTTTACTCCCTCAGTAACGTCTGAATCAACCAGCCATTAATGCCATCCAGTGACATCAGTACTCCTTTGCTTTAATTCATGTAAAAAGTAAAACACGATTTTCAAGTGGCAAACCAAGAAATATCGTTTGGAAATGTCTACGTGATACTCACAGAACAGATGACAGAATTGCTTTGCTCTTTTCAATTGTAATTCATGTTTTTTAAAACTTTCCCCAAACTATCAACTGCATGCAGTACTCTGAACCCGTTGTAATTCAAACTCGGTCACAATCACGCAATGGAATAAATACACACATGGAATGCTTAGTTCGAAAACAAAGAAGAAGCTATTTGGTCCTTAACAACAAAAAAAGAAAACGAGGAAGCAAGAAAGAAAAGCTAACAGAATCATTACACTTGACGGTATAAAAACCAAGAAGGTCGAATGACAGCATGACATTGGTCTCAGAAACTTCGCATGAACAAATTAAAATCACTGCGAAAGCCACAAAGCGGTTCTAAATGAAAAACCTACCGACTGTCCGCAATGATTCTTCATTCGCAATTCAATTTAGCAATTCAGTTTTGAAGATAAGGGCAATTTTGCTGTTTACGATAAAACATTATCAAAATGTTTGAACTCCACGCAAGCATGTCACCGATGCGATCTGCTGAATATTAAGCGACAATCCTGCAAAAATTTCTCATAATTATACATCCTTATGCGAATGTTTAGACAATCAACCAATCAAAATCACTACCCGATTTTCGGGTGGTAGTGACGTCACTGGATGGCATTAATGGCTGGTCGATTCAGACGTTGCTGAGAGGAGAAAATGACTTGAAGCAATTGGATGAAATTCAGGCTATCCCAGGGTGGGACTGGAAAAACCATCTGGTAAAGAAATGTAATTACTCAAGTCTGCATTACCAAGTTGGTGGCATTTTGGATTATAAAAGTCTAGTCCAATTAGTTGAAGAACCAACTAGACAACAGAACACCTTAGATTTGGCTATTACAAATCAGCCTATCATCATCAGAAATGTGTGTATTTTTCCGGGAGTCTCGGACACCTCAAAAGATCCCACTTTATAAGAGAGCTAACTGGGACAGTCTGGCTGATGAACTAACTAAGGATATTGACACCATAACAACCAATGCTCAATTCAATTCAATTCAGTTCTTTATTTCATATTATATATGATATTAACACAAGTGTATGTAGGTAGGAAAATAAAATAGCTGATAAATAATAATTAACTAAAAGACATTAAGTTCATTCGTGTACAGTGTCCAAAGTAGCAAGATCATGTTCAGATAATCGGCAGCAGTAAAGAGACTCAGGAAATAAAATCTCAGATAATATCAGTGATAGAACACAGGAAAAAATAACAGATTCCCATTTTTGGATATTTTAGGGTATTTAAAGAATACCCATAAAAATCCCAAATTTGGCAAAGTGAGACAAGTCTCAACCAGGGAATTCCCAACCAAGTTCCCAGATTGGGACTTGTCTCACTCTTCCAAATTTGGGATTTTTGTGGGTATTCTTTAAATACCCTAAAATATCCAAAAATGGGAATCTGTTATTTTTACCTGTCAGAACATACAAGAATGGAAGAATAGGAAGAACTTAACAACAAATGAACTCTGGGAAAAACTTAAAGCATCGATTAGCAAAGGAATTGATAGGCAATACCACACAAATTCAGCAAGCCAAAAGACAACTTACCTTGGATTACACCTAAGATTAAGAAGAATGGATGATTAAAAAACGAGATAGGCTGTCAATCAAACGTAAGGGCTTTGCTAGGGCCTTAGGAGTTGTTGATCCAAGCAAGATCACAAAGAGGATTAAGTGGCTTAAGAAAGATATTCAAAGAGAAATGGGGCAAGCTTACTGGAGCTATGTGGAGTCTATCATAACTGCCATTGGCAAGTAGAGTAAGAAACGGCCAGGATTAAAAAGGTTTTGGACCTTCATCAAGCACTGTTGATCTGACATTTCGGGGATCAGCTTGTTAATTGATGAAACAGGAAAAAAAGTATCTGTGGCAGATCAAGTAGCTAATATTCTTAAGGTATCAGCCACCCTTCAGGACCGTCTGCGCGCGGATCGCTGTAGCGTTAGTTGTTTTTATAAAAACCCCTATAAACCATATATTTTTTAAAAGCTTAATAATTCCAGATTATGGATTTGAACTAACAAAAACGATTTACTTAAATGTGTTTCGAAATTGGAACGTTTTGTGTAAAAGTACACTTCTCTATAAATCATGTTCCACTCCCGCCGGAAATAAACGGAAGAAAACAATTAACACCGCATTCGCTTCTCAACACGTTCCACTAAAAAACCGTGTCTCGGATTTTTGATAAGTGCGTTTGTGTTTCTTTTATTAGCAAATGAAGTTGGGAAAGGCAATTAGTCAACACTCCCCTTGGAAAAAAAGCTCTAGCTTTAAAATGAAAAGGAGTATTAAAATTCGCAGACACGGTTTTGTAGAAGAGATATATGGCATCACTCTGGCCAAATTTTAGCCAAATTGACTGAAAGGCTGCCGACTTGGAGTTCAAAACGTACGAGTCGATCGGCAAAATTTGGGTTCGGAGATAAAATAGAAAATACATTTTTGGCGGCATCCTACCTGGAATGAGATTATAACACCTAACTGTTTATTCTGATTGATATCAGAGAGGGATCAATTTTCTCTAACAATAGGACTTTGACAGGTAACATGTAACAGGAACAAACTTTCGCGGCAAGCAAGGGAACAGTTTAATTCTCCGTTGGAAAACTTCCACTCTTTTACACCACGAGAAGCACGGTTTAATTCTTTCTCGAGCAAAAGTTTTGCCTCTTCTTCGATCTTTTTCATATGATCCGCCCAGGCGTTTTTGTCGATCGGCGCCAGGCCAAAAAACTTTGAAGCCGCCGAATGTCCACCACCGATTGCTCGAAGGCCAAGAACTGAGGCCCGGTTTATTTCAAACGCTCTGCTCTTCTCGGAAGAACTAAAAACAGAATTTGTCTTGTGTGACGGACGGCTTTCATTCTCGCACTGGATTCTCCAGGTAGAACCAAGTCCATGCTTAGTCGCTACATTTTCCATGACTTGGACTCTTCCCTGGCAAAATCGACAAGCTACAGACTCGTCCCAGTTTCTCAAGCAGCTTTTAAACGATCGATAGCTCGACCGCTTATTGTTTTCCACGTTCCATCAGCAGATGGGGTCGATGAGCTTAATTGGCTTTCTTCATCTGGCTCTTCAAGCTGGATTTTGGAGCGGCTTGCACTCTCAGCAACTGCAACATTTTCGCTTTTCTGAATATCCAACTCCTCGAGCCACTTCTCTTGCTGATAAAATGAGCCTTTGTCGCTCTCTGCCAATTTTGCGGCCCATTCTTTGTCAAACTCACTCTTCGATTTCCTTTTCGCTCTCGGTTTCGATGACGAAATTTTCTCTTTTTTTGGTGGCAAACGCTAAATATCCACGGAGAATACTAAAGGCTATAAACAGCGCGAAGACAATTCGCACGTGTTGTGTCGAAGCACGCACTCGGTGATATATGACACGGGTATGACAGATCTTGTCAACGATCAATTAAGATAATTAACGAGAAAAAATCTTTTACCCCCGATATCTTTCGACAGAAATAATATTTTCTTCTAATTTTTTTTTTAAAAGAAAGCTCTCAAGCATATCTATTTGAAAACGTTGAAACCTCAAATACGAAAAAATGGCAATTTTAAGGGTGGCTGATACCTTAACACACAATTCCAGTCTATATTTACAATTGAAAGCCCTGTATCACATGACTTGTTGCCATCTATCTCTCTCTTTCCAAGCATGTCTGATATTCTTATATCAGGATCCGGAGTCTTGAAACTACTACATGTACAGAAGGTACATAAAGCTGCTGGCCCAGATCAGATTAGACCAAGGGTATTGAGGGAACTGTCTTACATTATACACGTAGCTCCTGTACTGACTCTGATTTACAGAAGATCATATGACACAGCCTAGGTACCAGATGACTGGAAAAAGGCTATGTGACTTCAGTCTTCAAGAAAGGGAGAAGGTCAGAGGCTGGAAACTATAGGCCAATATAACTGACATGTATTGCCTGCAAGATCATGGAGTATATTCTCGTCAGTAATATAATGAAGCATGCATTATTTTGTTCAAGACCTTGCATGTTATATGCAGGGTGGGGGGCAAATGGATGTCTTGTTTAGCGAGAGTTGAGCGGTGAATCGAATCATAAATGTATCTTACATGGTGACAAAGTTGAAATTGTAAGGTAGATGCTCGATTAAAGGTAGATGCTCTATTAAATTAGAATTTAGCGTGCCTCAAGGTTCCTGTCTTGGTCCGCTATTGTTCACATTGTACACGAGTGAGCTTTTTGAGATAATTAAATATCATCTGCCCATGATTCACTGTTATGCTGATGATTCACAAGTTTACATCTCATTTAGTCCAAATGACATCTGGAGCTGAACAACTTGCTGTGGTGAGGAATATGGAAGACTACATCAGAGACATTTGTTTTTGGATGTTGAATAATGATCTTAAATTTAATGATGACAAGACTGATTTCCTCATCATTGGTTCATCACAACAGCTGGAAAAGCTAGATAATATCAGTATACGTGTGGGTGACTCAAATATTCATCCCGTGCCACTCGCGAGAAATCGTGGTTGTTGGTTTGATTCTAGGCCCTCCATGGCATCAGACATCACAAAACTCTGTGTCTCTTCATTTTACTGCATTTATAATATTCGTCGGATCAGAAAGTATCTTTCACGGCAGTCAACTGAGATACTTGTCCATGCATTCATAACAAGTTGCCTTGACTATTGCAATGGTCTTTTATATGGACTACCAGACTGCTTGTTGAATAAACTGTAACAGGTACAGAACGCTTGGCATGCGCCAGACTGATTTTTGGAGAACAGAAATTTTGTCATGTAATGCCTCTTATTTATGAATTACACTGATTACCGATTAAATATAGAATCGAGTTTAAAATACTTTTAATTACTTTTAAGATTCTTAAGTTTTTAGCGCCTACTTATTCTCGTCTCTCAGTTCTCTTAGGCTCCCATCTAAATATAATCTAAGGAATTCTAGTGATAACCTTTTCCTTAGTTATCCGCGTTTTAAATCTAAAGCTACACTAGGTGATCGTCCTTTTACCTGTGCTGCACTGAAACCGTGGAACGCATTACCATTTGACATAAGAAGTGCCAGCACAGTTAGTATTTTTAAAGCCAAGCTAAAAACTCACCTTTTCTGTCATGCATTGTTATCATAGTTCTTTTTATTACTGTGAGTTTACTTTTAATTGTAATTTTAGCTTTTTAAATCATTGTAAGTTTACTCTTAATTGTAATTTTAGCTTTTTAGCCTTTTTATTTCGTTTTTAATCTTGTCATGCGCATTTGATCATTTTATGCAATTTGTGCATCATAAATGTTTTATTATTATTTTATTATTATGCTTGTGAACCTTAAGTAGTGCAGTAGGTAGGCTTTTAATCGAATGTCTGGTGTTTGTTTATTATGTAAAATTATCTTTTTAAAAAGATGAATTATTATTTTTTTCTGGCAGGCCTCTTATTCTGCAGTTGATGACAGCATCAAGAAAGCATTTCAAGAAATAGTTGGAGAAAAAAATGTGTCATCTGCCATGGTTGTAAGAGAACAACATGGAAAAGATGAATCTCATCACAAGTGTCATCCAGCTGATCTTGTTGTTTGGCCAGAAAACAAGGAACAAGTCAGTGAAGTGGCAAAACTTTGTGATGATAATTGTATTCCACTGATTCCATTTGGATCTGGGACTGGACTGGAAGGAGGTGTTGTAGCTAAAAAGGTGAATGCATTCTTCTTTAATCACTCGGCACGCAGGTGGAAAACTTACCATGTTACAAGATCTTGAATAACACTGCAAGATTTTGTAACTTTAAGATAGCAATATTGAAGTTGTTACTGTTAGACTTAACGCAATCTGAGCAGGGCAAAAAAACTTCCACTCCTCTGCGTGTCAGAGAAGAATACTCTCTTATCTTATAAGAGTGGATTTCCAAGAGTAATTGTGAGTGAAAGTAGCCTTTCTTGTTTCCTTTTTTTGTTTCTTACTCTATAAAGCTTGACCTTTATCTGGTCATCTTGATATTTCTAAAACTTTGCATTTTGAGACCCCGTTCTTGCATCCTGAAACTGGATTTGCTTGAGTAAAGCAGTAGAGTAGAAAAATTGTAAATGTAACCTCTTCGCTGTTAGCAGCCACCTTTATCAACTTACTGACCAGTAAGTGTTTGAGACAATAAAGATCTGGCTGCAGTTGTTCAAAAGCTGCACCGGATAAATCGCTATCCAGAGGATAAGTATTATGATAACCAATTGCGCTAAACAGTGGATAGTAACTTATCCAGTGCATAGTGCTGTCCACTTTTTGAACAACTGGGGCCTGGCTGCAGTTGTTCAAAAGCTGGATAGCACTATCCACCAGATAAATCACCTTCCAAAGGATAAGTGTTAGGGAAACCAGTATTGCTTTATCCAGTGAATAGTGATTTATCCGGTGGATAGTGTTCTCCACCTTTTTAACAACAGGGGCCTGACAATACAGTCTGAAATACAGTGTAGATGATTACAGCTGATTATGCCCCTACAATTTAGCTGTCATTAGGGCTGGGAGCTGGGGATATTCCCTATATACTATATTTGGCATACTTAATAGCATTTTTCGAGTTAAGTTGAACTCGGAGAACCTTATCTCAACGATTTCTGGAGATTTTGATCTTTTGTATGCTCAATACTGTAGTTCTACTCAGTGTATTAATGTGGTTTCTAAAGTGATAGTTGGCAAAAGACTTTAAGGGTGTTTGTTTCAAAATGTAACTTAGGTTTCTGTTTAAGATTGTACCATTTTCTCGCAATCCTCCATTAAGCAGTCAACCTTCGTCAAGTGGGAACTATGCTTGCAGCCATTACCCTGAGGGTGGCTGAAACCTATTCATAATATTGTGTCATGTGTAATGTACATGTTTGGTATTCCATTTTTTTAGGGTGGTGTCAGTGTAGATGTTACAAAAATGAATGAGATAGTTGAATTCAATCCGGAAGATTTTGATGTGACAGTGCAGGCTGGTGTCACTAGAAATCAACTCAATAATTATGCCAAAGACTCAGGATTGTGGTTCCCAGTTGGTATGTGATCATTTCAGCTCAAGTTTAGTTTTAGTTTATTTGTATTTTCACCAATTAAAATACTAAATTTCCAAGTAGGGCTTTTTAAAAGGGACCTGTACATGTACATCTTCTCAATATCACAAGATAAAATGGAAGAGGGTACAAAACAACAAATGTACCGATTAAATTAGGAGGATAGCTGTATAGTATGACATAAAAACCTGAGTGTACCATTATATTTATCAAACTTTTGAAATTTAGAGATGTGTTAGTTTGTTCTTCACATTAATATAACTGGTAGTACTTGCCACTGCACATAGTAGCAGAAACACTAATCAAGGCTGGTCAGGTGCAGTTGCACAGAGGAAAATATATATCACTTTTATATTATATTTATATTAAATACATTATGCACATAAAATTACTTGTAATTACAGATGATTGAAAGAAAAAAAGCAAAAAAATTCAAATTTTATGTTACAATTAAACAGGATTATGCAGTCATGTCAAGGCTGTTTAAATTTTGTGGTAAAAGTGAGTGTGTCAACATAATCATCCTCTGGCAACAAGATATCCAAGAGTTGACAATGAATTGCCTCCTTATATAATTTTATAATTATTAATTTTTGATAATGAATCAATTACAGATCCAGGTGCGGATGCCAGTTTAGGTGGAATGGCATCGACCAGTGCATCTGGCACAAATGCCGTAAGGTAATTTGATTTTTTTTCAACTTTGTTCTTAATAATTTTGTAACAATTGTTTTAAGTCTGACACTTGCCTTACCGTTGTGTATGCATAGTATCTATCAGTAGCTCTTCTTTTTCTTTATTTTTTGAACTGTAATGCTGATAAATAAGATATGTTATGGTTTATCTTTCAATTTTTTGACCTTGCCTTTAATGACTGTTATACTTTTAACAGGTATGGCACTATGAGAGAGAATGTGATGAACCTAGAGGTTGTTTTACCAGATGGGCGGATTATTAATACCGCTGGTGAAGGCCGTCGGACAAGGTAGTGAAAATCAGATATAATATATTTTCTTTTAATAAATGACGTATACATGGTATGCATATTTTAGTGTTCAAGGCAGTAGGGCTTTTCTTTGGTATAAACTTTAAATCTCATTCGGGTTTATCTGTGAGGAGTAAGTGCAAGTGTATCCCATGGGTACATGTGTTTTATGTATTTGCATGAATATATGTGTGTCATTTGTTTTCCTTTAAGCTCTCTCTTGCTCATCACATACTAAAGCTACAGTTCTTTTCCATGACTATTGTCTCCAAACTCGGCTCATTTTCCTAACTTTTTGCTCCACAGAAAGACATCTGCGGGATATAACCTGACAAACCTGTTTGTTGGTTCAGAAGGCACCTTGGGTATAATTACAAAAGTGACTCTAAGGCTCTATGGAATACCAGAATCGGTATGTTTTTTCATGTGAAATAGTTACATTTCGTTAATTGAGACTGCTCTACACGAAAATTCTCATAGAACAGCCATGCAAAGCAAGAACTTTGTGTTTCCTTCTTGTAGCCAAAGACACTTGGGATGCTCATGAAGCGAGCAAAAGTAAGCAACATAAGTCATTTCCCCACAGACCACCAAGCCAGCAGAAACAGGAAACGGGCTTTGAGAAAGTCTAGGAAAATGCCTCTGAAACTTTCTAATGTTGTTGCAAATCCAGTAGAAGTCAGTCATAATTTGCCTAATAATGGACTTGTTTTGCTGTGTAATGTGACGTCTTGACAGTTCTACATTCACGATTTCCTAATTAGTAATTTGTCTGCTCTCTATCGGAAGACATTGTATTTCAGGTCAAAACATTTTATCTACAACTGAATGGGATGTCTCAGAAAAATCTATATGTAATGCTTTAACACTGGCTTCATAATCCTGTAATTTCCACCCATTTCTAATCCACTTTTCTTTTTTTTCTTATCCTAGACGGCATCTGGTGTGTCTTCGTTTCCTGATGTTAAGTCAGCTGTTGATGCTGTGGTGGAAATCCTCCAGTGTGGATTGCCCATGGCAAGGATTGGTAAGTACACGTGTAGTTGGCTGAAAAAAAATATTAGTTCCTGCTTTGTTTTAGTGTCAGTGCTCTATAGCATAGCCAGCTTACCGGCACTCCTCTCAAATAGTTTTGAACAAATAATGCAACAATAACTTAACAGAACTAAAACCCTCACTGACGGAAGGCAGTCAGTTGTACATTTACTGTAAATCCTCTTATTCAGCTCTCTGGGGGCTTATTTATTTCAAACACTTTTGAGGGGGTGGAGGGGGCTTATTTGAGAGGGGGACTTCATTAATTCACTAAAGACATTGGAATCAGTTCTTTATACACAATTGCAAAGTGGAAAAGCTGGCAAGTACAAAAAATTGAAGGTCACAAAGCTGAGGATGAAAAACAATTGTGAACTTCCGGTTGGTGAATAAACGATCCCGGATCAGTCCACACCACTGCACAGTCTTGATTGATTAATACAGTCTATCATTTATCAGTGAATAATAATAAGGGGGAGGGGAGGGAGGCTTAAAAGAGAGGGGTGGTGGGGGGGCTTATTAGGTACTTTCTTTCCCTGGGGTTGAGGGAGGCTTAATAAAGGATTTACGGTACAATTATGACTGAAACTTGGGACCACTGAGAAACAAAATCCAAGACAGTCTTGGATTACCTTACATCGGCCAACAGTCATAGGTATGAACATTTGCTCATTTTTTTAACCTAGTGTTGTAACTTTTCTTTGTAGAGTTTCTAGATGATGTTCAGATTGATGCCTGTAACAAGTTTTCTGGCCTGGATTACCCAGTGACACCAACCCTTTTCCTGGAATTCCAAGGATCAGAAAACAGTGTCAAGGAACAAGCTGCTGTTGCAGGTGAGCCAGAAATGTTACTCTTAATGCCTTACCTTTTCGGCCATTTTGAGGCTTTATGTTAGACTGAGTTGGAGTTAGACTACCAGTAGACCCTCCTTTTCGTCAGGGATAGTAGAGCGCGCGAAATACGCGTCTGCGCGTGAAAATGGTTCTGGTTAACGCGCGCTCGCGCACCAGTATTTCACTTGCTAAACTATCTCTAATGAAAAGTGAAGGACAGTAGACTACTCCTAGTCTAGGTTGGGTTGGTCGCACTTTAATTTCACTATATAGCTCCGCCGAATTTTACTGACGTTTTTATGGGGGGTGGGGTGGGAGTGGGGGAGAATACAAACGACTGTAAAATTTCTCGTCTTTGTGTAGCAATAGTAAACTTGCGCAACAGGATGGGAAAGGAAAAAAGGCGGCAAACCTTTTGTGACAAGTGTGACCATAATTTTTCCTTCTGTCCTGCTGCGTACACTCACTGATATCTTCGCTCGCTTTTAACTTATCTCCTTTAGAGATGGTAAGTTTCCTGACTTTAAGGCGCTCTTTCCAGCAGTATCAGTTGATATTTGCTTAACTAGGTGAAAAAAAAAACCGTGAAAGTAGCCTTTTCACAGACCCTCTATTTTCTCTTCTAAGTCCGTCGAGTGCTCGGGATAAAAAACAAAAACCGCGTCGGATTTATTGACCGCCAGCGCAAAGAATGGAAAGAAAAATAAAACAACGTACGTGTACAGGCTACCGTGGAAGGGTCTATTTTCACCCATTTTCCTGCAGTCAGGTGTGAATGAAAATAACTTAACCCTCTCACTGCTAGAGTGTTTGATAGAGTTTTGTAAGATGGTTCTAACTTTTGAGTCTGTGGACGAAATCCTATGATGTGACCATTCAAATGAAAGCTCTCTGCCTGAACTTTTACATAGTGCTATTTGTTTTTCAAAACTTTACAAAAGGAAATTTGCAAACTTGGTCGAAATTTGCCTCTGGCTAAATTTGGAAGTGAAAGGGTTAAAACATGATGATCTTTACCTGCACTTTTTCAGCGGAGGTTATTGAAAGTAATGGTGGTTCTAAATTCAAGTGGGCCACTGAACTGGAGGAGCGAAACAAGCTGTGGAAAGCCAGACACAATGCCTGGTATGCTGATATGGCGCTAAGACCCGGATGCAAGGTAAATGACACGGAGTTGTGATTTTCATTTTGCCTTTCCAATAATTCTAATGTTCCTCACTGACCATTGTAAGGTCAGGGTTCCTTCTGTAGGTATCGAGGTAGAGATTACGTTCAACAAAAGAAACAATTCAAGCAAACAATAAAATCACCAGGAGAGCTCTATTGTTTGTTTCCTTCGTTTCTTTTGTTATGACGGTATCTGCAGAAAGACCAATTTAATCGTGTACTTAATTGATTGAACCAAGCCCGCTACCCTAAAATCCTGGTTTTAAGCCCATATTCCAGTTATAATCCCCTTTCCCGCTTTTAAGTTTCCCTCCATGGTTACAGTTTATCTCTGTTTATCAATATTATATCTTGTTTCGTTATGTACTAATTTTAGTAAAAGTTACAGTTCAGGTTCCAGTTGAAAAGGTGGATAACGCTATCCACCGAATAAATCTCTATCCAATGGATAACGAAATTGGTTTCCCTTAACTTAATACTTATCCGGTGGATAGTGTGATCCAGCGTTTGAACAACCGGAACCAGAACAACAACAACAACACCAACACCAACAACAACTTTTATTTAAACATCACAATTTTACGGCGTAGCTGATGTGGTCGTGTATAATATAACTAAAGAGACTAAAAGCATTTACCCTGCTGACTTTGCGCGAGATTATTTACATTTTCTTATTAACAGGTTTCTATCAACAGTTTTCTATTTACAATGTGTAATTGAAATGAATGTGAAAGTAAGTTAACCATGACCTCGCACTTGTCTTTCGTGGCAAAAAAAAAAACAAAAAACAACGGTGCTCTTAAGCGAACATTTCCGTTAATAGGCTCCCAAAGCGAGTAACGGATAGGAAACGTTGTTGTGAGGTGATCCATAGACACATAAGTTTGTATACTTTTACAAACTTAAATTGTCTCGTACCTGTATGGAAAGCCATAAACAAATAAATTTGTTTGCTCTTACAAACATTAACTGTCTCGTACCCGTGTAGCTGTCGTTTCGCGGGTGATTTGCATGCGCGTATCACTGAATGATTAATCTTGATCCTATGAACCATTTTAGGGTGTGTCCACAGACGTTTGTGTCCCGATTTCAAAACTTCCAGAAATCATCGTGGAAACTAAAGAAGATATCGTGGCTCATAACTTAGTAGGTAAGTTTGTGAAGCTATGAGAAAGAAACAAAACAAAAGAGAAAGGAAAACAAATCAATCATAGATGCAAAGTACTAAATTTTTCACTCTTACCGGTGTGATGTCTTCGCAAAGTGATTTTGATAAGATAAATGAAATGTATCTGTGGTCTTACGATATCGATCTCAATCTGTTATTCTGGCAATCATTACAATCTGTGGTTTGTCCTTCCATTGTATTATATCACCTTTTTTCACTGTTTAGTTTGATCAACACGAAATTGAGCTATTTTCTATGGAGCGGTTGTCATCTGTAAACAGCACGTGGCAGTTTGACAATTTTGACAATTTATGTTACGCACTTTTGCGAGAATATTTTTGCCATCACTGCATAGCGAACGCAAGTGTCTGGGATGAGACATCTGGGAGGTTTTCGTCGAGGTTAAAATAGGGCTTGTCCACGCGTCTTTATTCATTTTCACTTAAACTTAATGAATGTTGTCCACAAGAACTATACTTCGCTTACAGCGATTGGTGGTTAACGCTTTAAGCCCCAAGATCCAGCTACAAATTCTCCAGACTGATACATTTCTATTAAGAATAGTTGTGAGAATTTGGCTTAAGATCAAAGCATTCTCCCTTTGTTAATCAATTAAGTAATTCTCATAACCTTTACTCTTGATGATCTGCTGATGTTGTTAGGAGAAAATTGATGTTGATCACTCTTGGGACCTAAAGTGTTAACAGAATACACGTTTATTTCCAGCCCCCATTGTTGGTCACGTGGGTGACGGGAATTTTCATTGTTTTATTCCAATAAAACCGGACGACGAGGAAGAGCACCGCGCTGTAAAAGAGTTCACTCTCAGACTGGGAAGGTAGGCCGCTCCAATGGTTTAATTGTCTTTGTTGTCTTTTTGGTTTAGCCCCAATTGTCGGGCATGTTGGAGATGGGAACTTTCACTGCGTTTTACCTCTTGATTGTGAATGTGAGGAAGAGATAAGACAAGCAAAAGAATTTATAGACAGACTAGCAAGGTACGCTTTGTGTACTCAAGTGTAGATAGCTGCGTCGCCTGCCCTTTGGAACAAAGGCAAAACTAAGGGTATCACTTGGTCAGGGGCATACATGCCATTTCCCTTTAGAAAATCGTTGGAAAGTTATAAGATCTTTCCCATCAAGTATTAGACGTGATTATTTTGAGTCAGGGGCGATGTATAGAGTTCATGGGCGACACTAGTGAGACCAAGTGTGACTACAGATGAGAACTTTTAAATAAAAGTTTCCTGAGTCGATGATCTGTGTTTATGGTCTCTTAATGACGGGTTGATTCATGTCCTAGGTTTGTCTCGCGCTGACGCTCAGCGCGAAGTCATCTAGAAACGGTTATCTTGGGAAATAACGACCCAGTTTCCTTCGCGGCTTTGTAAAAAAAGAAGCGATAGCGTCATCAAAACGGTCTCATTACAAACCGAAGAAGCAACGGTCCAATCTAGATGTCACGTTCCACCTCATAATACAGACCTTTAGATTCGAGGACGAGGACGGCTACGAGTACTACGAGATTCCACTTGAAGTTTTTTCGCGTCTTCCCAAAATATAGACTTCCTGGAAAGCCTCATTTTACCATTTTTCGCTAGAAAAGTTAGCAATGTTATCTTTAGTGAAGGAGGTTACGCGCTCTCTCGGTCCCAAAATGATTAAACTTCTAACATTTGATCTCTTGTTTCGCCACCACGACTTTCGCGTGAAAACCCGTAGTAGAATGACGGCGGCTTCCTCGTTTTCCCGCCAGAATGACGTTGGCTCACTCGCGTACACCACTTAGTATTGAGAAAATCTCGTACTTGTCTTAGAATGGGCTGATTTAGCAACATGACGGGAACGTCAGTTGACGACGGGAAAGCGCGCGGAAAGAACTAAACGCTACTTCCGGTGCCCAATTTGCCGCTCTGCGATTGGTCAAGCCAGTTGTTTGATTTGCGCGCCATCGTCAGTTGACGTTCCCGTTCTGTTGCTAAATCATGTCTGTAATAGCCAGTGCTTGAGTGTGAATTTTCTTGTTTTCAGACGCGCATTGGCTTTGGGCGGCACCTGTACAGGTGAACATGGTATTGGATGCGGCAAGCAAGCGCTCCTTCCTGAAGAGATCGGCGAAACTGGATTAAACGTGATGAAAGAAATCAAGACTCTGTTGGACCCTAACTGGATTATGAATCCTGGAAAAGTGTTCTTGTGAAGAGGCAGTTTGACTCTTGGAATAAAAGTGCGCAACTACAGGGTTTGCTTGGAAGATAAAAAACCTGGCTAATCACCATACGCAGCTGAAATAGTGTGTCAATAATGGGCCTAAATGTTCCATTGATGGGCCTGCATTTTCCTTTGATGGACCTACATATGGCAATAAAGCGCGTTCCGGAGTATTTCTAACCTGGGTTTAAATCGTAATCAGGGTGGGTCCCTGTTTTTTAGCGGAGACGTGTTCACGCGGGCTACTGTTTCTTTAATTCGAACACATTTACACAATTTACACGAAGTTGCTTTGCTATTTTCCCGTCTTGAAGTGAAATTTCTCGCTTACCATTTGTTATCAAAAAAGGCAGTAATCTGCGTATGTTACTTGTGCCTATGCTAGCGTCGTAATATTAACTAGACTTTATAGGAAACTTTTTAATCTATCTCAGTTTAACCCTTTAATTCCTTATGGTGGTTTTATAAAATTCCTTATGAAATTAACATGCTGTGCAAAAAGCCAGCCAAAGTGGTTTCATTTGATTGGTAACATCATAGGAGTACGTCCATAGATTTAAAAGTTGGATTCTGGTAGTCTAGTAGTAAATGGGTTAAGATATCTGTAATATTTACCTTGTGAATCAATTTTTTTCCTGAAAATAGATTAATAAATAGACTAAATTAGTCCACAAAAACGTAATTCTAACATTAAGATTGTAATCGAGTTCCCTCGGGGGCGTTGGCACTCGCATATGAGATAGTAGAATCTTTTTATTTCAGTAGAGGGGTACAGCTTAGCGGATAACACATGCTGTTTATTGACCTAGCAGCAAAGAAGTAGTTTTAAATTAGGGCTGGTACACACTTACCTTAAGGTAAAAGTCACGAATTCTATGCGTTCATTTAACAGTGATTTAAACGACCTTATACATGGGTAAATTTAGTGTAAATACAGTGTACCAAAGGGCCACTTCCGAGTTCCAAAAACTCTCACAAGGCTAAATGCCAAACTTTTCTTGTGAAAATAAGTTTTATTTGCGTGAGGATTTAAAAACTTAGAAAATTAAAAAAAAATGAAAAAGAGGCTGGGTGTTCTGCTGCAGTAGACCTCCGTTTTTATTGTTCACTTTAACCTGTACCAGCTTTACCGGTGTCAGGAGTTAGGGGCAATGTTTTTGTCCTTAATGTGTTAGCTATATAGTGACCTAAAGATTTTTACTATGAGTACGAGACTGAGTACAAGTACGTCTTTAGTGTTTCGAGCTAGTTAGTTCCTTAGAACTATTAATCTTTCCTGCTGCTAGCCAGTAGATATATCAATTAAATCTCGCGAACTCGGTTTGAAAAATCGTACTCGTGGTCTTATCCAAAGGTCCCTAATAGGCCAATTCCGAGTTCCAAAGACCCTCACTTTCAAAATGAGGCTAGGTGCACAACCTTTCTTGTGAAAATGAGTTTTATTTGCATAAGAATGAAAAATCATTTCCATCTTAAAGGCTGAGCACTTAACCTCGTTTTGAAACAGAGGCCCGGGGGAACTCCGAAATGACCTATTGGTGACGCTGAATGAAACGATCTGACTTTTATTATGATGGGCCTGCCTGTCAGAGAGTTAGAGGAAGACACTCGAGACAAGATTCAGGGAAAAGTTTTGAGTTAACAATTTCACCCTTCTTGTCTTCGGCCTTGGGCGTGCTGCCGACACCCAAGTATCCTGTAGATGTTCATTACAAGCTACAGGACCCGGCCGTGTGTTGTTCAGTATTCTCTAACTGACAGACGGAACTTCCTGCTAGGCCTGTTAGGCATAATAGGATCCAGTTGAAGTTTCTTCAAGTAGTGGTCCTGGTAAGAAAAGAACCAAACGCAATGAACACGTCCGAATGCAAAAAGGTGCTAATTTGACTATTATCTCTACTGCACTTCTGATAAGTTTAAACAGCAGATTTTACGAAATCTTCGCAAAACAAAATCTCGTTCGAGTCTAAGTAACAGTAATCCTATATGCGAGGAGTATTAAAAGTGTAAAAGATTTCGGCCAACCATAAGAGTTGCAAACAATAGCCAAGAAAACTTTACACTTTTACATGTTTAAAAATGGAGTTAAAATACATTTTATTTCGTAAACTGCCTGTTCACGAAATAAGTTTATGCATTCTCTGTGTGAAAATAACACATGTAATAACAACATTGCTATAAGAGGAAAGCGTATTGCGCCATAACAATGTTTTCCGTCTTACCCGAATCATTACTCAAATACGGCTGAATTATTTTGTCAGAGTTCTTTATGTGGGACAATGTTTCAGTAAGACCTGCACCGTTCTAAACCTCTTATTTCACTGGTCCCCTTTAATCTGCATTTCTATTGTTTTCAGGCTGAGCGGCATAAATAAATGAAAGCTAAATAAAGAGAACGCGTTTTAGCTCTCCCCCCCCCCTCCTCCAAAGTTATCGTTTTTTTGTGTTGTAATTTTTTTTTTCTTACGACCTTCTTCTTATCAATAGCAGAAGTCCGAAAAAAAGGCAAAAAAGAGAACGCTTAAAACTTCATTTTATTCAATTTTATTATTTTTTTGTTGTTCATTTTTTTTTTTTGTGCTTTGCTTTGTCTTTGATTTATTAAAAATAAATAACATTAACAGATATTATTCACTCCTCAGATTTCGGTTTCCAAGAAGAATGCTATCTTTACAGAGAAGAGTGAACAGATTAACAGGAGGTAAATCTGTTCACTCTTTTCTCCAAAGATAGTATATGACCAAAGGAGATTGTTTAGTGCGAAAATACACAGTTAAAACGCTACCTTCAACAACGATGAAAAGCTCGACCACAACACTGATTAGGTGCTTTTGGGTCCGAGAAAACAGCGTTTAATTTTCGAAAAGAAAGTTTTTGTAAAGCTGCATGGAGATTACTAATTACTAGAGAGCATGAGCACAAAATGTGGCCTCCACAGTCAACAAACTCCTAATTTACACAAGCAAGTTAAAACTTCCTGTGAATCTGATATTTAATACTTGGAGTATTTAACAAACCCGTTCCTTATGTCAACCACTTATTTTTAGGGATTACCAAACTTCATACCTAGTGACCAGGTCGGGCTTCATTGCGACACTCCCAGGATTTTGATTAGTTGATCTACTGAACCCCTTTAAGGCCAATTAAATTCTGTAGAGTATCTGAGCTGGCTTTCGAAAGAAACTGAGTGGTCCGAAAATCTTCCCCTTTTGGTTCATCACCTTGCTCTTTACTTAGTCGGTTCTGCGGCGAAGATTCAAACGTCTTGTCGATAGAGGCGATTTTTTTTGCTACCACGTTCACCAAATCAGTTAGCGTTGAACGTTGACTGATTTGGTGAACGTGGTAGCAATTGAACGCTCAATCTTATCAGCAGGTATTTATAATACCGTAAAATTCCGAAAATAAGCCCCGGGGCTTATACTTTTCAAAGGCCCCTTTTGAGGGGCTTATTTTTGGAGGGGCTTATATTCGGAGGGGCTTATCTAGGGAGGGAAATTTGCGTTTCAAAATCGATTGGGCTAGCCTTACAGTTGGAAGGAAATTTACCGTTTTTGCTTTGTTGTATTTTGTATTTGAGGGCAATTTCCAAGTACAAGAACAAGTTCCCCCGGGAGTGGGGGGCTTATATTTGGAGGGGTGATTTAACGAAGGGTTTTTTGCGTTACGAGTTCGGGGGGCTTATATTTGGAGGGGCTTATTTTCGGAATTTTACGGTAATTGCTTATAAGTAAGCCGGTTGGGTGCACAAATGGCAAGCTACAGGTGGTTGCCCGGTCTTGTCGCACTTCACAGTAGAAACTGATACTTAGGAACGCCAGGAGCTTGAAAGATAGACCAGTTGCCGGTGTTGTTAATGAACAGAGGCAAGAGTTCGATTGGTTTTTGGCCTCGAAAGGGATCATCAGTCTCCTGCATCATGCCAAGCGGTTTTTGAACAGGTGATGTTAACTCTGACTGCGGACTCGATGGCACTGCGCCATCAGAATTGTTTAGGAATTAGTTTCCTTCGGCAAAGAGGGAGGTATTTTGTTAGCGTCAAAAACAGTGACTTTGCTCAGAAATCTAACGAGGAATCGTCAAAGCCATCGGCACCATGTCCAAATTGAACAAGAAAGCCTGGGAAAACAAATACCGTAAAATTCCGAAAACAAGCCCCGGGGCTTATATTTTTGAAATGTACCGTTTTTGCTTTGTTTCACTTTGTATATGAGGGCAATTTCCAAGTACAAGCCCCCGTGGGTCTTAAATGCGGAGGTGCTTACATGTATATATGGAGGGGCTTATTTTCGGAATTTTACGGTACCTAACTGAGAACACCAAAATGCACTTCTACGCTGTTACACGGCAGTAAAACTTGGACCACCTACACGAGACAGTATAGGCGCTTCTTTGGCGTCAACAAGTGGCAGAGACCATGACCAACAGTGAAGTACTTGCACGTGCTGGTATCGTCAGTATACACCCCCTCTTCAGTCATGGCCGCCTGAGAAGACTCGGCCATGTTTATTACATGGATGATGAACGCGTCCCAAGGAAGTTCTATACGGACTATAGAAAACAGCAGTCAGGAACGTCGGGCGCCCCACTCTGCGACTCTGCGGTTCATGGACGCTGGGGTGATCTCAAAGCTTGCGCAATTGACCCAAACAATTAGAAAGATAGATCGTGGTCTAGATGGAGACGGACAGTAAACGAAGGAATCGAGAAAGCCAGAAGTGGAAAGCCACCAGAAAGATGAAAAGTAGTGCGCTCGCCGCAAATATAGCTCTACTTTGCTTTATTGGCTCGTGAAATCCCGAATAGAGACAAAGCTTGTGCGCCCTAGTCAGTCGATCTGTAGTGGTACTGCAATGTCTTGTCTGGCTGTGAAGGCCTTGTCTGTCTTGTCTGTGCTCCTCATACACACTCGTCCCGAGGCTGTATCCCCAATCGAACGGCTACTGTTTTGTTTGATCCAGTTTCTGTTGTTTCTGTACGAGCTCCTGGGTTTTCTCTTCAAGTTTCTCCATCAGTGACGTGCAGTGGGCTCTAAGTTTAAGATGTTTTTTCTTTGCAGTTTGCTCGTGTACAGCGGTTTTATGTCTTCTTTCAACACCTTCACCCGTTGTAACTCTTTCTTCAAATTGTTCTCCTAATTTTTAATTTAACATTAACGATCTTTCCAGATCGCTGGGATTCTTTTGAGATTTTTCCCACTCACCCCTTTGGATCTGGTTTATATCCTGTTCTAGCCACTGTCGCTCCGTTCGCAGCTTACTTACCATAGCCCAACAAGCTGCAATTATTAATATTAATCACTGCCGCTTGTTGGGTTATGGTAGCATTATGTTGTTTCAAAGTTGCCGTGATCATGAGCTGCTCATAACTGCGTATGAACAAACGTCTGTGCCATCCTTTCAGTCGACGAAATCTTTTACATGCCCTGAAAACAATCTTTCTTAGATAAAAATCACTCACTCTATATGATCTCTCGGTTAAGTTGCACTTTCGTGTTTCTTCTTCCAAAAGTGAGGTTTATATTTAGTGATGTCATAAACAACAATTACACTTGCTAATTTCCTTTGCGCGCGCAGGAGCTCTTCTAGAGCTGCGATACTAATGGTCAACAGCAGAACATTTATCAATGGTGGTAAGCTATGGTGACATGTCAGCTATGGTGGGATTGTGGTGTTGGGCCAGTATTGTGAAGTCACCTTTCAATCAGTTTTCGTTTACAATTATTACCAATTGCACAAGCCTGGGAGCAAGCTTTCATATCAATATAAATATTTCCTACAGGTAAATTCACTGGCCCGCCAAGATTAGCTCTGGCTACCCGCAGGCCAGTGCTCTCTTGTAAAACTCAGTGAGGGAAATAAAGACTATTGCTGTTTTCACATAATGATGTTTACAAAAGATGTACAATATCTGCCCAGAGTCGGCGATTTAAGAATTGTGCCAATAAGCCATTTTAACGCTTGTGTGCTCAGTGCCCTGGCCTTTGAATAGAAGCGAGGCTGGCGGTGACCTTTTTTTTTGTTACAAACCTTCCTGCTTTTCTTGTGCAAATCGTGGTATTCTCATGCTAACAAGCCCGTGAACATGATCATGATGTAAGATTGATTCACTGTAACACCTTGAAATTTCAAGACGAACCTAGCCTACCAACCGGCCAGCCAAAAATCCGCGTTACAACATTCACTGTTTTGGACTTATGCTAATTTTTCCACTGAAATTAATGCCCACCATACATACCTCCATGGCTAGTACATATCAATGTGAATATTGTCAATGTTTTACATTCTAAATATGCCATAAAATTCATACTAAAATGTACTAGCCATGCAGGTATGTATGATTGGTATCAATTTGGAAAAATTAGCATAACGTCAAAACAGTGAATTTCGTAACGCGCACTTCTGGCCGGTTCGCAGGCTAGGTTTCTCCTGAGATGTCAGGGTGTTGCAGTCAATCAATGTTAATGAAAGTTTCACACATTGTTATATACATCATGAAGATTATGTGATGAGAGTTAAAAGAATTCTGTCGAAACGTTTTATAGATAATACAGAAAAGCGCTAAAAGTCAAAATTTAGAATAAAGTTGCACTTAGACGGGTGGTGAGAAAACAGGTTAGTTTTCAGGACCGAAAGGAAGAAAACACATCAAAATTTCTTAGCATCGAAAAATGACATTAAGCAGCCTTCTGACGCTAAATAAGATTAATGTGAGTTATGTAACACTTTTTTATTAAACATTCTATCACGGCTATTGAAATATAAGGTTCGAAATATATTTTCGTTTCATTTGAATTCAAACATGCAGAATTTTTTACTCCTCACGGTGGTTATTTGCTAAACACCACACTTAAAATTCCTGGTGTCCGATTTTCAGTATCAGGTCTAGATCGCGCAAAATTCGGATTTTATCGATTTCAAAGTTTTTTGTTTATTGTTGTCATGGTGGTATCAATTTTACTAAAAACTACATTTTGACAAACTTCGATTCATAGTCAATCACTGGTGAAATTTTGTAGCGATCGGACAAGGATAAAATTACTTTTTAGTTGAAAAACATCGGTATGGTCTCCCAAAAACTGTATCGATATACCTTAAGCTTGACCAAGAAGTAAAAATCCTAGGCAAGAAAACAGTGTCAATTATACAGAGTTAGTATGTGGTGGCGAGATGACCGTAGTACAACATATTAAGCCCCTCTTTCTCGAGAAGGGTTTTCGCTAAAATATGCCGGTGTATGTGGGAAAACTTGACAAGCGGTTTTTCTTCAAAATTTTACGCGCGTCTGGGTATCTTGCTACGATGCTTATCACTTAGCAGATGCTATCTGGGTGTTAACGAACGGATCAGTGCTTCAACACTTTGAATGAACAAGTCTGTATATCCGTCGCCTCTGTAAGCTTCGGTTAAGAGTTCCATGTCCGTACTGAAAAGCTGTTCTTTCCCATCCTGTTTGTAGCTTTCCAGAAGAGATTTCATATCATCTATAAATTGTTGGTTATATTCAGGTATTTCTGTCGGAAGTCGAGCGCGGGACGAAATTCTCATTTCTCTGATGATAAACTGAGCAACTGATATTTCTATGGGGAAAAGGAAAAGAATCGTTAATAACTTTTATGAAAATTATGTCGTCCACTTCCCAAACAAAAAACGGGCCTGTTTATTTGTAGTAACGCGGGGATGCCTATTCTACCTTTCTATGCTTATTACCTTATATTATCAATTTTTAAAAATGCCGCTGAAGGACAACACGAGCGGGACTTATTATCCTTTGAAGTCGAATCTCTGCAGACGGCCACCTCTCCATAGCCGTCCGGCCTTTTTTTTGTAGCTACAGATAAATCCAGGTTTGTTTTAACCTCTCTATAATGCCAGCTACCTCACTATAATGACCTCCAATTACATGTACCTCTCTCCTCAAGCATGGGAATTTGGATACAGTCGCAGTCGAACCCCGGTTTACGGGCAACCGCTTAAGGTTGCTGGACACAGTTTTGGCATTTTGTGAGTATATGTCATTTGCCAAATCATGGCAAGAGAAAGGTTGCAGCTCACAAGCTGAAACTTGGCAAGTGAAAAATATACTGACGAAAAATTTTGATTGACAGCTAAAATTTGACGTTTTCGTAGTTTCGATGGCAAAATGAATGATTGAATACAACTTTAAAATTTCACTTTTGCTTAGTTTACATAAAATTCGCTAATTAGATTTTCCTATAAACTTGCACACACCTTACTATAATTAGTTATTACCATTTGAAGCTTATTTGACCAAATTTTAACAGACGGGATTTTAGATAATCAATAATATAATGGTACTATTAAGTATGTCACAAAATTCGTCTGTTCAACTTCCATTTTAAAGTTCTCATTATTTAAAATATGATAAAAGTAAAAATACTGCCAACTATCACAATATTTTAATGAGTAGATTTTGAGAAATCGTCTTCTGTGTATCATGGCTTTTTCTCCGCCATGTTTATTTGTGTAATTTAAAACACGCTCCGTCACGCAAGTTACCGCTGACCGCCCGCAAAACTGTGTTCAGCCACCTAAATACGGACACCTCATTATTGACGGAAAGTTCACTTTGTCCCTGAAGAGAGAAAGCCCTTACATTTTCTCTGAACTCAACCCGTTTAATACGGACACGCCGTTAATAGCGACACTTTCTATGCCCCCTCAGTGTCCGTATTAAAGGGGGTTTGACTGTACTTGGCCCGAGAGAAAAACTCTGAATTTTGACCGCATACAGTCAAGTTGTGCATGTAAATAAAAGCTGCTGAGCTGCGGTATGATGTTCTAGTTTTGTGAAATGCAACTCAAAACCTGGTTCTAAAAACCGAGTCTCTGAACAAAACAGTGAAATATTTTGAAATGGTCAAGGCTATTGTTTTTTCATGCATCTAAATGGGTAGATAAAATTAAATCAAACGAGAGCATTTTAGGAACTGGCAGTCAGTCTGTTTAGAGGGGAATACTTCGGCAGTAATTTGTCTATATAAAAGAACAACACACTTTACTTTGTCAAGCAGACATACTCACTTCTTAACAGCCTGTCTTTTGCATCTTTACTCCCCTTCAAAGTAGCTCCAATTTCTCCTCTTAACTCATTGACTAAACCCTTGAGTTTAGTGTTAATATCCAAGTTAATTGCAAGGACTGTTGAAGACCACAAAAACAAACAAACAAACAAAAAAATGAGTATGGAGAATTAAACAACAACAACAACAAACACCCGTACAAACCAACAAAACATCATTCTGAATGCTCTTTCTTAAAATTGTGAAAGGTTGGTACCCAGGAGTTACTTCATACAATGTAAGTTCACTGTAGGTGGAGTATAAGCATCAGGGTAAGCAAGCATACATGTAGTCCTAAATAGGACTGTTGTTGACAGTGACTGATGTTTTGACAACCTGTTGCAGTAGTTATCTTTGGACTTAAAGTGACTTGTATCACATCACTTGATGAAAACTCTGCTTATTGACCTGATTGGTCAATTATGCCACAACGTTATTGGTTATCTGTCTGTTAAACCTCGATGTTATCGCCTATGAAGACTGAATGTGACTGGTGATACAACTCACTCTGAAGATGACTACCAATGTTGAAATGCGAGTCATTGTCAACAACAGTCCTTTTTAGAACTACCTGTACACTCACCCGAATGATCATAATTATTCCCACTACTTTTGCTCTCTATTAAGTCATACACGCTGCTAGACTACAGGCTTCCTGGAAGAGGTCCACTGCAAAAAGCCTACGTGACACTTGACTTCATATCAAAATTTCTCCTCTCCTTTCACAAGGTAACAGTAGGCAGGTTTATGTTGCCTGTCTGAATTTTAAAACGTCTTGTGTCGGTGTTTATAAATGCTTGTCACTTAATGTCGGCTTTGCCGTCACTGTCGCAATTTGGCTGAGGGAGGTTGTCTCTTGTCACGATTTCATTTTACACGCTGTCGCTACTTTATGAGCCATGTCGCTTGTCGGAATTTACCCTGGCAGGGCGTCTTAGATGCTTCTTTTTGAGAGCTCCGTACACCTACGGTACAAGGTGGCGGAGCTGTTGCGCGTGCGAAGCATGCTCAGTGGAGTACCATGGGTAATAAAATTTGGTTATCTATGCAACCTACACCCAAGAAATTTTGGTTCTGACAAAATTGTCGGTCCATATGTCTGTATGCCCAACCCTTCCTGTTAATGGATGTGTAATGTCATGCTTACTAGCTTGGAGTCTATAGCATATAAAATCTATGTTCAGCTTGATATTATACATCCATGTTATGATCAATTGACTGCTGTCATAATCTGCTGACCAATATCACATCATTGTATTTTAGGTTCAGGTGTACAAGATTCCAGGAGAGCTTTGCTTTTGGCTTTGCCCAAATCTATTATGATCACTTACATGACCAGGATAAAACAATACCTACCAGACTTGTCAAACCACATGCACTTGCTGTCTGGCACATGGGCAACCATAGATAAAGCCTCAGACTTTCCCATCCAGATGTAATGTGGTAGTCTGTCATTGTGAACGAGATGACTATCTCCATTTTTCATTCCATTACTGGCCAAAAGTTTACCCTTCAACAAACAACCTGCACAGGTTTCTACCACGATACTAACAATGTCTCTGTCAATTCCAAAGTCCCTGTGTCCAACAGTATACTTTTGTTGAATCTAGAATATTGAAATACTCCTTGTAAGTGCTTCACTTCACCATTTTCAAATAGACTGCCCCCAGACTTTTGCATAACCATTGCTTTCAATTTTTCCTGGGTATTACAGTCATCCCAAGAGAAATTGAAGGCAATCGTTATGCAAAATTTGGGGGAGGGTTAAACAAGGTGCATTATGGTCTATGTGAAAATGGTGACTTGTGAAAATGTACATGATTTTTGTTATGAAAAAGTACAGAAAGTAATACGTAAGTCTATTCAACTAAGGAGTTACTGTCTAACTCAGAAAAACTGAAATACAGTCGAACCTCTCTGATACGGATGCTGAAGGGACAGAGCAAAGTGTCCGTATTAGAGAGGGGTCTGTATAAAAGAGGTCACTATGATGACGTCACTTTTATGACTCTACTTACAGTTTTAAGTGCTCAGTAGGCTAAAATTGTTTTTAAACTGCATTAATAAATTATTTATTAATTCACGGCACAAAGACACTGTCTTTCAGTAGCATACAACATTGTACATCTCAGCTACAAAGTAAGTACAGTTGGAGACAAATCACTGTTTTAAAACGAAATGAGCTACAGTGCAATGCTGCATGTAAAAAGTTGTAACCTAAAGCACAATGCTGAAAGTGCCTTTCACTATTTTGCAGGTGCAGTAAACAGTAACTAGAGAACAAAATGTTATAGAAAGGATCTTTATGCTATCTGTAGTTATTAAAGCCTTAAATAAGTCAGTCATGTTCCTCTGCATGCTCTGTACACCTTTTGCAAATTGTTGTTTGATATACAGCGGTTGGGCTTTTGAAATCACACAACTTGTGTAGACAAACTATCATCACCTGATCACCGCAGTGTCCGTGATAAAGAAGTTAATTTTATGTGAATTTACTCTCTGGGGCCGAGATTTAGTGTCCGTTGTCTGTGTTAGAGAGAGTCTGTATTATGGAGGTTTTTTTAATAGAAAATATATGATAATTTTGTCAGGACATTGGAAACTATCCATAATAGAGAGGTGTCCATACCGAGACATTCGACTGTATTTCAGAAATGAGAAATGTATTGCATGCAATCACAATAACGATCAGGAAACCCAAAAAGTCACACAATCACAAACTAATACCACTGTTGCCTGCAGTTTAGTTTCTCATGCCCGATGGGCTTTTTCCTCGCAACACAAAAACATTCCACAAATATTTCTGGTGTTCACAGTTTTCTTAGTTTCACATTAAAAGGTTTACTGCCTTATTGACTGCTGGTGTTATTACACACACACACACACAAAACAAAAGACATCTTTTTCCTACCACAACTTGAAGCTTCATATAATTATGAAACCAAAACATCCAAACCTTTGTTGCAACTACCTATTTTTAAGGAGGAAAAAATCTACCATAGCCGGGCCAAACGTGCTTATGTTAATTCTGACAAAAATGAACCCTTCAATATGAGTTCTCAAACTCAATAATAATTCATAAAGAAAATACAAGGGAAATTAATGTTTAAATGAGTGTTCGGAAATCAGATGAAAAACTGCTCCTTTTTCATCCTTAATCTCTCCTTTTAAAATCATTTTGTTTGGGAAGTAATATCAAGCATTTGACACAGTGTTTTTGCCCAAGCAATGGTGCCCAAGAACAGTACTTGCTGGACACTAAGGTGAACACACCCTTTTTTCAAGTACCCACACTTGAATTCAGTGCCCGAGTTTGAGACCTTGTAATTGGGCTCAAAAGTGGGTACCGGGTGAATATGCAGAAATTTAAGAATTATTCCTTGAGCCTGAATGGGCTCTGAGTCAATAGCCCAAGAGGCCGAAATCTGTGGTCAGAGGTTCTGAGTCACACTTTAGGTAATGTCGAGCCATTCACTGTTAGGCTGTGAACAAATTTAGGTGGCCACTACGCCTCATTCCCAACAGATGCATTTACAAGTCCTATTCAGTGTCAGATTGTCTGAATCACTTAAATTATTAAGGCTAAAATCTCGTGACAGGCAAATCACTCTAGGGGCTGAGGAGCTAATTTTCCCCAGACTCCATATGTGCATAAAAATACATTTAGCTAAAATAAGGTTTGGAGAGAATATTTGTTATATATGTGCTTATATAAGTTATTTAATGTTTGGTAACATTTCGATTAGCGAGTATTGAGTACGTACCAGGGCAAATGTTTTCTTCACATCGTGGTGACCTTGAGAATGAATCTTTTTAACAACTGTCTCAAATTCCTCTAAGGGAACAATTATCTTCCCAGTACGTTTGTGAACAAGTACGTCACAGTTCGCTTCAGCATCGAACCTTACATCCATTCGTTCGGCCCAGTTCTTGAATCTTTCACGTCTTGTTATGCCTCCTTTGGGTTTTGGAAAGCCCGCCGCTTTCAATTCGGGTCCGCTCGGGATCCACTTAGGGAGGGTGGCTGCGCAGCGCAGCCGAATGCAATTTAGAAACAGGTCATAAATGACCCTCGGTAATGGCCCTGCGTGATTTCTTCGCTTAATGGAGTTTTCATTCCCATCTGCTGCAAAGGTTTCATCCATTTGTTTTTCCAAACAACTAGAAAGAAAAACTTTGATACCGTGCGTTGAATACGACTTCAACTTCCCACGTTTTCACTGCGCACGCACATGACGTCACGTGACGTGAAGTCCCGTATGAAGCTTTTCTTCTTCACTACAACCTAGACCTGTTTAAAGTCCATTTTTTTGGCCAGGGTATTTTGCCTTATTTTCCAACGCCGTCAGATCAATCAATTTTCAGCCAATGAAAATCGATGGACAAAATACGGGAACGAGGCTATCACTGTTATCAAAGGGGGTTTAGTGACCCTCAAATTAAGCAGTATCGTGAAGCTAGGTAACCATCAGGATTTTGACTAAGTTTTTCCTTGATACAAGTCGGCACAGGATGACTCAAATCTTGAGATAGGCTGACAAGTTGGTAGTTTGGCCTTACCGTTTAATGTTCTTCGTATCAACTACTAGCTAGCGCAGAAGTAAAATCTAACTATGGTATTGTCACCAATAAACGGCAGAAAGATGACTTTTCCCCGCGCTAGAAAATTGCACTTTGTACACTTTTAATGACCGACGAAAAACTGGCCCCTGGAATGAAATGTCAGTAAAAAAAATTACTTTGTAACGTAGGCTTATTGCGGCTGACCGTTTTCTCCCCCGGAAATACCCTTTAGTTCACAAAAAAACTAAGAAAGCAATCAGTGAAAGTGTACACTTGTATCTTAATTTGGCCTCTTTGATCTCCGGCCTCTAGAAGACCATGGATTGACGACCCCGAAAAACGCTACGCAACTAATGGTATACAACTGGTTGAGAAGATTCTTAAATAAGCACAAGCAGCCAGGAAACAAGTATTTCCTTACACTCCAAAGAAATTTTATTCCGAAGGCTATTTGGGACAAGCTAATCCTGACTAAAACTCAAGCGAATGACCATTGAGTGTAGCACTGAGAGAATGAGCATTAGACATTTATAAGACTTGTTTATTGATGATTGTGGCTGTCATTACAAGTCATCCACGACCCTAGCATACTAGCAAGGTGATTTAGAAGAGATGTTTACAGACGAAACCAGTGTTCAGTATTAGTATTGTAAAACTGTAAATATTTCCCCCTGATTAACTGCGCCCCTGTGGGTCTCGATGATGATTACAACTATAGTGAATTTCTTATCGTCCTTTGTATAACTCTCTTAAAATTAAATTCGATTTATCACAAGAGAGGGACTCTTCTTTAAGAATAACCAACGCTTATTTCAATCCCTGTCTGCAAATTGTTTTTTTTTTTTTTGCAGACATCGAATTTCGGAATTTGCGTGAACTGGTCACCCATTCTCAAGTCAAAACTTTTTTTGAGTACATATGGCCACTTAAATAGATTGAATTTAACAGGGCACGCCAATGTGGAACTCGTGTAAAGTACTTAAAAGAAATTAAGGAGCTTGTTTCAAATGATCAAAAATTGTGGTGATGAGTAGGGAGGAGAGGGAGGGTGAAATTTGCCACACCAAAGAGATCCGAACGCTAACGTTTCGCGGAGCCCTTTGCCCTTGGTAAGATTGGTTAATTCATGCCATAATTGTTTTCGCTGGGCACAAATCCTTAGGGAAATTGTGCCTGCAAATTGCACACTTAATAAAACATAAGTAGAAACTTTTGACAAAGAGGGAATCAAGGGCTTTGGCCGGGAAATGTGAATTTCACTAAAGTTATTTTTAGAGGTTGTATAATTAAACGGAAGTCTAATTACAGGGACATTTGCACATTTTAATCAAAAATTTTATTGTTTGAAACTTCATCAAGTCAATGAGCGACTGCCCGGCTCAAAGCAAACAATGCAGAACATTGTGGTGGAGACTGTTTAATTCTCTCTTGACGACAGTGAATAAAAGTTTGCGGGCCTCTCTGGAAAATAACGTCCCATTGATCTCAAGCGTTTAATTGGTCTAAAAATAACTTTGGTGAAATTCACATATCTGGGCGATTCCCTCTCTGGGCCATTATTCTCTCTTGGTGTAACTGTGTAAAGTAACGTCTACGTATAGCTTAGTTCGCAGTAAGCGCACAAATTATACACTCTTCCCTTAAGATGCGGAAAGGCAAGAAAAAAAGCGCCTGAAAAATGTGACACGCGGACAAATAAATAACTTTTCATCACTTTTTAAGTATCGTTGAATCTTTGAAAGGCATCTTACACAGTAAATTGGGAATTAATGTTATCTAAGTACAGATTTTAGTCCACGATTCTGTTGTTAAACAATATGCACCACGCTTAAGTCCCCCCTAGCCCCCGTCCCAAAAGAGTATTTATTTTCCAAGCAATTCTAGTGACCAAAGTAAAGCTGCAGTTAGAAAATAGGTTATTGACGGTGAACGGGAAGCAGTCGTAAACGTGGTGCTTTACCTCTCTGTTATGGATTCGAAAATTTCTTTAATTAAAACACTGTAGCCCGTGTACAGACTCTTCGTCCCCTTAGTTTCTTTTACGGGGAGTAGTCTGTGAACAGACAGGGCGAAAATAAGGAGAAAATTAAGGTGTCTCGCTTTCGATGGGGCTTTTTTTTAACGAATCTCCATCAGGAAATCCTGTTCACTAGATGTGGGGAAGAAGTCGACTGTACACAGGTTAAAAGTGAAATAAAAACTACGTCGAACTAGACCGAAACCTTCTTTAAATCGAAAGATGCTATCCTGAAAATGAATCCATTTCTTCTAACTCTAAAACTCGTTTCTTTGTACTGCGTTTAACGCAAAATCTGATACTCAGATTGAAATTATAATTCCAACGAGAATTGACTACTACATACTAATTAATAAAAAATTCTACAAGATAATATAAGAAGTCAACCAACTCATCATAGAGTGGTAAGGTCGTAAGTCACCACAACAGAGTATATAATTGGGCAGTCTCTCTTGGTTACGAGATAACCTATTTTCAATTGTTCTTGGCCAAGTATTGAATACGCGGCATACCTCACATATTTGCTTTCCATGATGCAATTCTCAAATAAGAGGAAAAAGCCACGCACTTCTTTCCTATTGGCTGGGGAGGTCCATTTATCTCCAGGAGAAGAGCCTTAACGAGCTCCAACTGAAGGATTGCAGGATTGGTTCCTTCTGCTGCAAATATATGAAAACGTTAATTTCAGGACGATGAAATTCGCTCATGCGCCTTATTCACTGCGGTTTTCTGATGTCTGTTAGAGTGTACCAACGGGCCACTGATTTCTTGAGCTCAGCTTGTGAAAGATCCATCAGTACTCCGCCAAGAAATTCGTTTTCACCAACGTAATCATGATCTAGCACGGTAACCTGAAGGAGACGTTGTCGTGCCTCACGCTCCGATATGCTGTAACACAAGGTTTCGTTGTACGTCGGATTAAGGGTCCTTCGCGCAATCCTCGTCTTGAGCTTCGTGGCCTTAATGGGATCTGGCAAGAGGTACAGTTTGACATACGGATCCGCCAAATTCGTTTGATTCCTCGGGGACAACTCCTTTGCATGCATAACCATCACGCGAAGTGTTTCGTGTTCGTGTCGAATCAACAACTTCACTTTACCACCGATTGCTCGCTCTCGGTTTCGTTTCTCTTCGGGGAGTAAGCGCATGGAGAACTTGCTAGCTTCTAAGTGGTCCTGCTGTGAGGGATGAAGAAAGGTGTACAGAAGCTCAGACTCGGAGATTTCAGGCGGCATCATTAGCAAGTGTCGGATATAGTCGTCGAGTTCGTTTCTCCTCCGCTCGGCAACTACTCGGATCTGGGAACGACCAAGGTAGATCTTGCTCGGAAGCCTCGGAAAGTTCCTTTGCGGAAATTCTTCGGTGAGTTTTGCGTTCAGCTCATGAAAGTGACTGAATCGACGAAACACGAACGACGGTTCTTGGACGTCAACGCGGCAAACGTTCAAAACATAGATGTAATATTTTTCAGGACTGTAGCGTTTGTGAAAATCCACGACACGCGCAGAGTCAATCAAACCGTCCGATTGGATTGAGTATGTACCACGAGCAAACGAAAGAATTGAGCTTGCTACGGAATTGGCAGGCGATGAAATTCTTAGTTGGCCAACATCTCGAATCTGTGCCACGTTATGAATGAAAAAGTTCACCTGAGTAAACCACGAGGAGAGACTGGACTCTATGAGGCGAGTAAACACGGTTGTGGCTTCTGCTTCGGATGAGTCTGGGAGCAACGAATCCCGAATGTAGCTTAAATCAGAAACTTTACTTAAACAAGAAATTCCGGAATTAAGCATCAGCGACAGCAGGTTAAGTAACAAGTTGGAATGGCGCCGGATGACGTTGAACGCCCTACAACAAAGGTCAATAAAGTCCTGAAAACGGCTACTCGGTTCGTAACCATCGTTTATGACGAAAGCCATGTCCGAAGTCAGTACGAAAGGAGCCCGATCGCGGCGAAATGATCCGAACATTTGTGCATTGCCAAGTATTTTAGCAAAATCGATGTGAAAAAGGTGGCCGCTTCTCTTGATCATTATGTTATCGTTGTGACGATCGCAGATTCCGAGGACGTACGTGGCAACACAGTAGCCAGCACAGGAGGCTGTGAAATTCTCAACCGCTTGGTGGTAGCTTTCTTCACCTGGATTGTACTTCTGGATCCATCTCGCGATTGGCTCGTCCTTGAAAGACCCTGTTAAGCCCAACTCAGTGTGGATCTCTCGAAGTGTTACTGACTCCTTAACAATTTCCACCATTCCCATGCCGATTCCAGTTGCTATGCACTTGTAGGTGATCATTTTTAAGTCGATTCCCTCTCGTAACCAGATCTTGTTCATGATACCAACCAGTTGCATAATAAGCCTGTCTTGTCTCATGTCGTCGCCGATTTTGAACATGGCGTGTACGTCTTCGCCAAATGGGTCTGAGTTCTTGAAAATGAGTTTCAGAGGAGCGGAGTTGGAGGTGAAGTAGCCGCAGCCCTTAACGTCGATGACTTTGACCTCATAGCTTGGGCTTATGGGAAGTCTTACGCTTGTGAACATGTTCGCAGCAACCACAGCTAACTCTTGCTGAAGAATGTTCGTCCTCAAAGAATCTTTAGCGCTTTTGACGTGCTGCGCCACATGGATAAGGTCATGGACGATCTCGTCTTGTTTGGTAAACTCAGTTCTCTGCGCATTGCCACAGATACTCAGGAGGCCACCGAGAATGATTTGAAAGCGTTGACCGAACTGAGGATCGCTGATGTTATCTTTCAAGTACCAGAACAGGTAGTGCATGACGCGAACGCTGGCGAGAGCACGGCGAACGAGGAATTGAACCAAGGCAGAGTCATGATATATTTCATACTTTAATGCCTGGACAAGCTGTGGAAGGTAATCGCAAAGTTCGTCATCAACAAGTGCCTCCATCCAATCAACAGCTGTAGCTCGCACACAGGTGTCAGGGAAGCTGACTTTGAGCAGTTCCATTGCGTCCACCGGCTTTAGAGGCGCCCAGGAAGCTAATAAGCTGTAGATCACTGGAAGATATTGGTACTCCCATGACGGTGCTGCAGAAAGAATGAGAGGTAACGCTTTTGGCACTGACTTACAGTAATAGCGGTGCTCCCACAAAAGTTCGCTCTCTTCCGGCTTAAGCTCGTTGAACAGGTCTTTTTCCAAAATGGGCTTGTACACGTCGGCATTCCTGGCTTGAGCTTCACAGCGATCAGTTTCATCGTAAGCCAACCAGCCATTGGTCTCGAAATCCGGAAACACAATGTCAGCCAAATAAGGCTCAAATTCGACCTGTAGCATAACGCTCGAGGGATGGAGAAGATTAGACGTACAACTTCCCACAGGGTTTGCAACGTCGTCGGGCCACAATCCAAGAAGATGCGTGCCTGAAACCAACACGCCTTTGAAGTCGAAGAGGGGAATTGCCACCCATCCAAGTGGGGTCCTGGTGGTGTTCAGAGAGTTGCCCTTACCGGTTACGGCAATTCCATAAAGGGTGAGACAGAGACGGGACTCTCGCGGTAGCTGACGCACTTGGATCTTGAATTGAAGCCACTCATCCCATCGCAGCTGATTAAAGAAATATCTAGTGATTTGACGTTGTTGCGTTACTTCAACAGGACAAGACAAGCGCCCTCCGTAGTAAACACCGCACTGTACTTCGAAGCGATCAAAGTCCTGATTCCAATGTAAAGGCAGTCTGTTAGCGAAAGCCACGTGCACACCAAAGTTGTCTGTCATGGCGGTGACTTCAACAGATCCCGCCAGTTTTGGTCTTTCAGCCCTGGTCGGTACAAAATCAGTATCGAAAGCGTCACAGTAAGTCTCAATCAGAAGCAAAACGGCTGCCTGTAGCTTTTTTACGGCGTCATAAAACACTGCCTCGTCAGGGACTTCTCTTCCTGGTGCATGAGCACTCTGTAGTCCTCTCAAGTTTTGAACTGAATTAATCACTTGTTTGGTCTCCAAGGAAGCAAGAGTTGCGCAGATTGCTTTCACAGATTGAATTACCCGACTAGGCTCAAATCGTGGGTTGATTTGGTTGGTCGTCTCTTCCTTAAGCTTGACAAGTTCATCGTTGAATGCTTCCAAGAGCACAGTCAGTCCATATTCAGAAACTGCAGTACTGACGGGGCAATCAAAGAATTCCTTGTAGTTCCGCGGAACACTGTCATCTATGTCGTCGTCTTCAGTCCTGGCCAGCTGCCTTGAGACTTGCCAACTTTCAAGCAGCACAAGTTCCACCTCTCGTCCAAATTTCACGCATTCCTGGACATAACCATATTGTATCAAAACACTATTTGCTTGAAGGTACTCAGATCGCCCACAGACTTTGAGAACGTAGGAGTAAGCAGCGCTGAAGTTTATCAGTTTACTGTCGTCCAACAAACAACTCAAAGCCAGTTCAATTACTCTGCTTATTTGACTGTGAACACTGAAGATAAACTTGAGGGTGTCCTTCCGCCCCTCTGTGTAAATGGCGAGTTTTGCCTCTGTGTTGTGAGGAAATGTTTCATAATCATAAGGTATTGTAGGACTAATCACGTGACCAGGGTTTGTTTGATCATCCCAGTGAACGTTTGATCTGAGTCTTGACATCATTTCACTGAAAGCAGTAGCCTCTTCATTTCGCTCTTTTGCCACATCAAATAATCCATCCCCATAGAAAATGAATTTTGAATTACGTTTACTGGATTCTGAGGCAGCTGGTGATTTCTTGTCGGGAAATGAAGATGAGAAAGGATGGTCGGTGAGAGTAGGTAAAGGTGGACGAGGGTGAGGAACAGATTTGCTACGAGAAACAGTTTTCTTTAGTTTTTCTTTAGGACCTTTGGGGGTCTCCTCAGGGGGAAGTTGCACTTTAAGAGGCCTTATGTTACTAGAATTAATAGCTGGCTGCTCAGAAGTCTCATTATCCTTTTCTGGAAAAACAAGTTCATCTGACAGAGAATCTTGAGATGCTCCAACTTCCTCTCTGCTTCCTCTGGTGGATAATTCTCCTTTGAGCTTTAGGGTGATAGAACCATAAGGATGTTCGCTGCTCGAATTGGAAGATGCAGTGGTTATGACAGACTGATTTGTATTCTGAACTCCATAACGCTGACTATTCAAGGTCACAAACAAATTAGAGGTGTAAGATGGTGGGCTGTTATTGTTTTTAAATACACCTGAGCCATTGTAAGAAGCTGTTCCTTCGTGATCCAATAACTCTGATGGTGGCCTGAAGGACTTGTGATAATTTGCAAATCCACCTTGTGGAAATTGGGGAATATTATTACGCTTTTTCACTGGACTCGTAGGGGGCGTTAATTCGTCCCAGGAACGAGATGTCCTTAATTGACGTTGTTGATTAAACAGACTGTCACGACCTTCATCACTATCACTTGGAAATTCAACCCAATTTAAGCGTTGGCTATTACTGGGAAAGCTCGATTGCGAAGACCGTGTTTCTGTTTTCACCGCTCGTTGGTAGTCTTCCAAGTACCCTCTGTTGTTTCCACAAGCGCTAGCGGGATGGCTGTCTGAGGGACAGAAATTCGGCGACAACGAACGTGTGCTTTCGGTTCCAGATCGGCCTCTAGCGCTGACGCTAAATTCTGAGGACAAAACTGTGAGCCAAGACACTTCCGAATTTACGGCCACGTTGTCTTCTTCGTCGGACGAAAAGGACATCAGGTTGTCAAAATTCGCCATGACGAAATTCGATCAAAACAAACAGGACACAGCTGTGTTACTTGTACATAAGTTTTCAACTTTCTGTCAACTAGCTCACTCCTTGATTCGAAATATTATCCGTTTTCATTATGATAAAAATCATTGACATGAAGGCTTTGATTTTACAACTTCCTACCACACCGGAAAAACACAAACCAGTTTACCAATGTTTAACGCGGGAATCGGCCTCAAAACATCAATCCAAGTTGCAAAGATATCTCGTCAACGGTCCAGCCTTGCTGATCAATATTACATGAGCGCCAAGTTTCCGTAGAAGTGCTCAAAATAAGCACTCTTTTTCAGATTGCGCAAATTTCAAATCAGTGAAAAATACAAACAAGCTGAAGTTAAGTGCACATATTGTTTGTAACTAAGCCGCTGTCCAAACAGGCTCAAACAAAACATGGCGAACAACTGTCCCGCAGGTTTATTGACGAATCGAGGCTTTATTTGAGCCTGTAATGGCCACTTTTGGCTGGAGTTATAAGAAAAATGCAAGTGGAAGTAAAAGACCTCGTGAGCAATCAAGACAACTCGAGGAATGGCAAAAAAACCGCCCTGATACCAGCACAAAACCACTTCATCCGCAGTCGCACACAGCAGAGACCTTGACAGCTGGCACACCGCAGAAAAGAAGGAAATGTGAGTGATGCGCACAGGGTAAACATAACCTAAAAGTAAACGCAAACCATGCAACGCCAATCGTGCATACTAGAATATGAATATGGTAATACATGATAAAAATATGTAAGTTTTAAGATAGGAAGATTAAAATTAAGTCCTTACTGAACTAAAACATTAATTAACTACATGTACCACCATACCATACTCATAAATGTGCTTCACTTTGTGTGATCTTCTATTCTGCTTTTATTTGGTATGTAACGCAATGCTTCCCCTCAAATAACAGCTGTTCACATTCATACTGTTGCTCTAAATTTGGGTGCGCAAGCTGTTGCTGCAGAGACCAATCATTAATTGTCAGCAAACTGAAAATTTCACTTCAAATGTAAAATTATATATACCTGCCAACTCTCACGCCTGCGGGTTGAAAACTTCGATCTCACGCTGGCTCACGCTTGCGGGCCAATTTCTCACGCCTGATTGAAAAATGTGAGTTGTTGCCGTCTTGCTTGACACAATTTCCAAAAATATGTTAACTCAGACCCATGTAAGGAACGAAAACCATGTGTAAAATGAATAAATGACAATACCTTCCTCGCGATCCCTGATTTTGTGGATAAGCATTTTCTCGATAACTTTGCCTTCGGCAGACTTTGGACGTCTTCGGAAGACTTCGGAAGACTTTGGAATTCTTCGGAAGACTTCGAACTTCTTCGGGAATCTTCGGAAATGATCGTGTCGTCTTCAAAAATCCCAGCACTCCCAGGATAAAAATCTCACGCTTAAATCTCAGAAATAGTTGGCAGGTATTAATTGTATGAGTAGTGCAATGTTTGTTGCAGTAGCACAGATGTTACTTATAGTGCGACAGAGAAAACCTTGAACACCTGAAATATGTCAGGAATGTTATTTCTGTCCAATCACCTGTCCAGAATCCACTCAAATTTGAGCTTATTCTTGTCATTAAACCTCTGAGACTACTCATAAAGAAATACAACAGGGCATGCATTTGTCCTTTCACCAATCACTGGTGCTCCAATGCAATAATGTGGTGCCATTACTTATTCCTGTATTATCTATTACGCTGAAATAAAACAAGTGAATTCACAAATTAAAACACATGAGCGATTCATTGATCGCTGAAAACCTATCACAACTGATTCAACAGTCAGCTGATATTTTGGAACCAATTTTACAGTAGTTAACATCATTTTAAGCAAAATTTAACCTTTTACATTCTTTTGATTTTGCTAAACCCAACCAATACTTTTAATATTTTTGGCACATTTTAGGTGTTTATGGTTTTCGCGGTGGCCCTGTTAATGGGGAAGGGGGAGCAGGATTTGAGCACGGAAAACAGGAAAATGAAAAAATGGGAACAAACAGGGCTTCTGATATTTCGCGGAAAAAAAAGCAAAATTTCGCGGGATTTTCAGGGGCAAATTCGCAGAAACATCGGTTGATTTCGTGGGATTTTCGCGGGAGGAAAGTCAAAATTCGCAGAAAAATCGGCCAATCTCGTGGATTTTAGCGGTTAAAATCCAAATTTTTAAGGATTTTCAGGGGCAAATTCTTAGAAAACTGGACCGATTTCACGGGAAACTTCGCCAAGAAACAATCAGTAAAAAACAGCCGATTTCGCTGGATTTTTTCTGGCAAATTTCGCTAAAATCGATCAATTTTGCGTCGATATGACCAGCGTTGTTTAACGTTTTCTTAACAGGGATAATCATTTACTCTTTCAACAACAGTTCGCTTGAGAAATGAGCGAATGCTAAAGCTATTAACATTATGGTTATTGCCCAGTTTTTCGCCACGTTCACCTAAAAAATGCCTGGTAGTTTTGGGACGTTGTTGACTCGTTGCAGTGACGAAGTTTCAAGATAAATTTGGATGTTTGGGGTGAATAAAACAGGTCTAATAGCCAAGATTTCATGGTATTTCGCGTTTTTTTGGGAATTTCGTGGGATTTCGCGGAAATACCTGAATTTCGCGGGTCCGCGACCGCGCAAAATATCAGAAGCCCTGAACAAAGGAGAGAGTTGGAAATGAAGTTACCGAAATTTTACCTGTGAAAACAGCCACTTCGCAGGGCTCAAAGTTTAAATTTGACTTTGTGAGCACCTGTGCTACCAGATGTAAATTTTTAGGCACACAGCTGAAAATTTTAGGAGCGCAGCTTATAATGTTTGGAGCATCTATTTCAAAAGAAAAAGTAAAAAGCTCAACAGTGCCACGTTAATTTGTCATCTTCAGTTTGTTAGTTTTACTTCAGTCCTCTCTGCTGGGGACGTTTCCCAAGGAGGAACATCTGTGACTCAGTGATAGAAATTCCATACTGATGACATAAATCAATGGTTACATAATAAATTTAATAGTCATGGGGTTCCAAATGCAAGTTTGTTCAATTTACATTTCTCCTGGTTGATTTTGGTAAAGTTTTGTGTTTACCCACAAATGAGCTCCAGCAAAACTCAAATATTGACTGTTTTGTTATTTTGCTTTTGTCTGTCATTCACAAACAATAGCTAAAACAATGCAACTACTCTGTTGTCCAATCAGCTCTCATGACTGGATTCTGGACAGATTCTACACCATCAGTATGGAATTTTTGTCGCTGAGTTGCGGACATTCCTCCTCACGAAACATCCCCAGCGGTGAGGAGTGAGAATAAACTGCTGTTTTCGCAGGTTATTACCAGGGCTTCTGATATTTCGCATGGTTGTGGAGCCACAATATTCAGGTAAATCTGCGAAATTCACAACAACATGCAAAATACCGCAGAATTCGCTAGAAATCTTATCAAATATATGTCTGTACAACATTATTTGGAACTTATCTCAGCCATTGGGGCTGTTTACTTGCCGTAAGCTTGCAAATTTATCATGAAAATTCATCACTGAAATGAGCAATCAATGTCCCGAAACTACCAGGTACAGATTATGTTGCGGAAAACTGGACACTAGCCATGATGTTATTTAGGCTTTGCCATTGGTTCATTTCTGGAGCATATTGTTGTTGAAAAAGCAAAACAATGATGACCTCTGCTAAGAAGACATTAAAAACACTGGTGTGATTGATTTCTAGCAAAATTTGCCCTGAAAAATTCCCACAAAATCGGCTGTTTTTTACCAATTGCTTTTCAGCAAAGTTTGCCCCAAAATTCCCCATGAAACTTCCTACAAAATCGGCTCATTTTTCTGCAAATTTGTCCTTTACCAGCCGCCTATCAGAAGCTCTGTATTACTGACAGGGCCAGGGTTTAATTTAGGTTTGCTTCCATTTTGCACTTTCCTGTTCCCCACGCTTGTTCCCTGCTCTCTGTTTTCTGTTTCAGTACCGCACTACATGTATCAGATTGGACTGAGTCTAGTACACGTATATTGCTCTGTATACTGAATATGAAAATAATTACTTTGTTCCATCAATTGTGGAAAGCTGAATGCATGAATTTTAATATTCTCCCTCAAATCACTGGTAATGGCCCTTGTTAGCTTCCCCATTTCAAAACTTTTCCAGGGGTGCATGGCCCCAGACCCTAATTGAGGAAAGGGGAACTTCTGCTGGGTGCTAACATTATGTAGCCAACTACTTTAAATCTTACTGAAGGAACTGCCAGATGTGTAAGGGCAATGTTTTTTTTATGAAAAACAGCTACTAATACTAGAGAAGACCTCCGAGGTCGCCCAGAACGGACACTTCAGCCAGCGCTTCATGCGATCGCTATTGTGTCCGATGTGAGGCTTGTTTAGATCGTTGTTTTTTAGTTGACAAATGGGAGACAAAGTGAAAGCATTATGAAAAGAAAACGATGATTTAAAGAGACAACTGTATCAGTAGTCTCTAGTCATAACTGTGTTGTCATTGTTACTACTTGCATTATTTTATCAGTAGTCTCAGTTTTAGTTTATTAGGTCTCTAGTCACTTTTAGTTGTATTCATTTCCTGAAAACATGACATGCCTAGATTTGCATAGCTACCCGAGGGCATGTACTTCAATCTTAAAAACAAAGAAAATGCATACATGTATATAAAAAAAATGTCTGTATATGTATTCTGAATCTGTTACTCATTCTAATCAAATTAATACTGAAAATGCTTAACAACTATTACTCATGTTAATCAAATCAATTCTGAATATGCTTAGCAATATATTATTTACTAATAAATTTTTTCATTAAAGAAATAAACGTATTAGAACACTCATGCAGTTGAAATTGTCCTTTAATTCTCAAGCTCAAAAATTCAATATAAAGCTTACTAATGGTGTATACTGGTACATTTCATTAATCATGATTGCCTACTTTGTCTTTATAGATAAATAAATTGATGCCAAAAGGTCTATTAAAGTAGAGGCCCTCATGACAAATATTTTTATTTGGAATATTATTATTGATTATTGATGTGTAACTTTCAGTCATTGTTTTGTTTACAACTTAGATGATCCAAGAGCCAAGATCTTTGTTGGAAATCTTGACTGGAAAACTAAAGAAGGTAAAAACTTAACAATATTAATCATAAATAATGATATTATAATCTTTGTGGCATTTTGCATGGGCATAATGTAGAGATGACCAAGTTTCATCCTCGCAATTGCATACATTTTTTATCTCATTCGGGACATTTTATTTGTTTGTTACTGTTGGAATTGCCCGAGGAGATTTTAAATGATTCCTTTTTGTTGCAGTGGAAGAAACATGACTGTGTTTGGGGTTAGTCAAGGTAGAAGTAAAGTGAATCAGGAGCAGAAAAACAAAACCTCTGGGACCAAAAATTTTTAATGGAGGAAAATTTATCATAGAGACGCTGAAACCAGCACTAAAAAGCCCTACCATTTTTAAAGTCTTTTAAATTCCAACATTCTACACCATATGTGCACCAGAATTCTACACTCACCTATAAATTACCCAAATTCACTGTTTTTATTACAATAATAAAATCATAACCATCCTTCACACCGAGATGTACCCAAACAAACACCTGGCCCACTGAGTTTCAACATTTCACAGTCCAATATTTTGTCATGTTTTGTATGTGCAACAGGCACAAATCCACACTGGTTCCCACTGTTTTACAGAAATCCGTCAGGTTTTTCAACAAAATTATTATATATAAATGAAAAACCTCCCAAGCTGAAATCTGAAAAATGGTTTAGATAAACGTTTTTTTCCCAATTTCCAGACATTAGATGCCTTCCAGTGACTCAGAAACCCAGGAGAGAGGACTTTAGGGAGTTAAAATCCAAAACACTTCCCGGGGGAGCATGCCCTAGGATCCCCTAGAGGCTTGTGCCTTCAGCCTTTGTTTAGAAAATCAGTCAGTATTTATCCTAGATCTGTGCCTGTGCAAACCTCATGCACATCTACTTTTGTCCCACAAAAATGCCCATACTGACTCCTCAGACTCTCCTTTAAAAACATTGGCCTTTTAAGACCACCCCTCCCCCACCCCCCCACCTCACCATTGAAATTTCCAATGATCCTCTATGGGACAGTTTTGGACACTCACTGTGTATAATACTCAGTTTTAAACATCCATTTTCTTCCAATAATTTTACCAGACTGAGTTTATCTTTATATTGTTGATCTTGTCTGTGGCCATCATGGAGAGGTTATTTATTTTGAGACATGGAGTGGAATTTGCCACATGCAGTCACAAAGAAATGCTGATTTTTATTTTAATATGTGGGTCACTGACCTTGGCAAAGTGTTTCAGTCTCATTTTGTAGAATGGAGTCCATAATAAATGATTATTAATTTTATGGCTTCACTGTGATGCAGAATGCATGGCATGGCTAAGAGTCAAACCTAAAGAACAGTCCTTTTTTGATAAGCTATTTTAACTTGTACAGTAGTTACATTAGTAAGGAAATCAGAAGCTCTTTAAATTACTTTTCAGTGACCCTGGCTGAATATTTTTCCACCTTTGGTGAAATAGAAGCTGTCAGAGTAAGCTTTGTTGTTCTTTGTGTTTTTGTTTGTTTGCTTGTTTTTTAAAGAAACATTAATAAACTTTCAATCTGTGGACAATCCTTAATAATGCCACCATTCAAATGAAATGTTTTCAGCAGAGCTTTGTATTTTTTAGGATTTTGTAAAAAAACTTGACTTTGTGTGTAATGTTTTTCTCTGGCCTTTATTTCATTTGCAATGAAAGGTTCATAAATAATGTTTATGTTGTAGTTATTTTTTATCTCAAGAAATTTTTATTTTTGTTTCAACTTCATTAGCATACATTACCATACCCAAAAACAAAAGAGAAATAAAAATTACCTGAGGCAAAAAATTAACTACAACATTTACACATACATCTGCATGTAAACACCAAGAAAAAAATAGAAATGATTACCATTTGAACATACAGTACACTTAAATCTTTTATTGACCAGAAAGAAAAATGATGCATGTATTATTATTATTATTGTTATTGTTACTATTATTATCTACCCAAGAACGTTTACAATTTTACATCCGCTACATCAACAACTCCCTCCCTACACGTAAGAATATGGTAAGATGGGGATTATCACAAAGTCCTGATTGCTCCTTTTGTCTTAATCCTGAATCACTCCTTCATGTTGTCACTGGTTGTCAACAGTACCTTGATCGCTTTACCTGGAGACACGACTCAATCCTTAACTTCATTGCCAAGTCACTTCAACCTTTAATTAATGTTCACTCTTCACTCTATGCAGATGTTAATGGTTTTCTGAATCCCTTAATAATAACTGGTGAAAATTATCGTCCAGATCTTCTTTTCCTAATCCAGTCCAAGTGCCTATATGTTCTAGAATTAACAGTTGGTTTCGAGTCCAACCTTAACAACAATGCAGTGCGTAAGAAAGAAAAATATCTGAACTTGATCAACGAAATGAGTAGAAATTACAGATGTGTGAGATTTGTAAATCTCTCCATGAGTTCCCTTGGTGTTTTCTCCGATGAATGCTCCACGTTCTTAGACATGATGAATGACATTGGCATTGACAAAAAGCAGCAACGTTATATAATCAAGAAAATGATAAATATAGCCATTAGAGCAACATATTACGTCCTTTGTTGTAGAAACAGGAACTGGGATAGCCCAGACTTAATGCAATTTTGAATTTTTTTTTTGGCTTTTGTTTTGTTTTGTTTTTTTTTTTCTTTTTAATAATCCAATCTCAAGCAGCATTTGTAAATTGCCTATACGTAGCGAGATTTACAATTGTACATTCAAAAACACAAATAAAGTTTCCATTTTTAGTAGAAATGATACACATTCATTTTCCTAATCGTATAATGTTATATATTTTGCTTCAATGTAAACTGGTCTGTACTAGATATTCATTTTAACTCGTTGACCAAATTAAAGTACAATTTTGTTTTGATTAACTTTGTAACAATTTATTTAGGTAGTCAAGGATCATGAAACTGGTACCTCTCGAGGATTTGCCTTCATTACATTCTCTGAAGCTGAATCAGGTAAATGGCACTAAACTGCAATTCAAGCTGTACATGGATAATTTTATACTACCAGTCATCAGATTATTTCCAGTTAATCGAATTCGTCAGAACACATCCTAATCTGGTATTCCTGTGGTACAAAGGCAGAAATGTTTGAGCTATCACAGGTGACTACTGATTTGTCGCCCCTATTAATTTTATCAGGAGCTTCTCAGCTGCAGGAAACTGGACCCCTTTGGACTCGTTTGATGTCACGATTGTAGAATAAGACGAATGCGGATCCATAATCAATGATTATTACTAGTCAATAATAGTCAAATATCTGGCTTTTAATTAACAATCACAAATGCTGCTTGTACTTTTAGTGTTTTCAACTGTCTTTACAGTGCACCCCTCTATAAACAGTGTACTAGGTTAATATGCAGATTTTGTAAGAACAATAGTTTTTTCAAGAAAGGAAAACCAATTTTGATATCAGCTGTTCAAAAGGTGCAAAGTGCTATCCACTGGGTAAATCGTTATCTAGTGGATAACACTTGGTTTCCCCAACACTTACGTGCTGGTTGGTGATAATTAATCCGGTAGATAGTACTATCCAAAACATGAAAAACCAGGGACTGATCAATACACTCCACCTGTATCAACCTAAACTGTGAGTAGTCCCCATTTTTCCTCTGGCCAGGAATAGTAGAGCAAGCAAAATGCGTGCGTGTGTAAAAGTCATCCCACGCGAGTCATCCCACGCGAGGTCCCTATTTGGTCTCGCCTTTCTTGTGTGGGGTGATTTTCACTCGTGCTTGCGTTTCGCTCGCTCATTTACTATCCCAGAGGAAAAATAGAGACTACTCGCAGTCTAACGTAGCCATGCTAACATGGACTACATTCATGAAATTAGTATAATTGTGCTGCAATTAAGTTCAATTTATTATCTTAACACACGTTATGACTGGCCACTCACAGAAATTAACTCTCTTAAGCTCTTTTGACCAAGTTAAGTCAGGCAGAGTCAGTGCTGTTCATGTTTGACTTTTCAGCCCCTCCATAAAGCAGCAAATTGTAAGTAATATCTTTAATACATTTTGTTTTGTTCTTCAGCAACAAAGTGTAAATCCTGGTGTGCTTATAACCAACTGGTGAGTGAGTTCACAATATCATAGCTTGTGTAGCGGGTGCAAGAAAGGAGGAATGTAGTACTCCCAGGAACACCAGAACACCGGAACATCCTGGAACACCCAAAAAACCCGGAACACCCGCGAGAAAACCTGGAACACCCCCCCCCAGAAAACCCAAAACACCCCCAGAAAACCAGAAACACCCCCCAAAAAGCCTGGAACACCCATTGAAATTTGGCACTTGAAACGTACATTTTTTAGTACTCATAATTTCATACGAGTACCACGCAGCAAAAACTTATTTTGTAACATACTTGCGCAGTCTGGTTTTTAGAGATTTTGCGCTCTTCTTGGTATTTTGGAAGATGTTCCTGATTTTTTGGGGGGTGTTCCGGGTTTTCTGGGGAGTGTTCCTGGTTTTCTGGGGGTATTCCGGATTTTCTGGGGGGTGTTCCGGGTTGTAGGTGGTGTTCCGGGTTTTTTGGGTGTTCCGGTGTTCCAGTGTTCCGGTTCTTCCTGAAAGTAATACATGCCAAGAAAGAATGGGGTTCACTAGGGAGACTTTTCAAGCCTCTGCTATGCAGGCTATCATTATCCACTCGTGGCCAATGTCAAAAAGAAGATATTATAGTGTCAGGAAAATCCTTGTATCAACTACAGTATGTGAACAATGCTTCTAGTTTGCACTAATAGTTTGTGCATCATTTGTGCTTTTGTTTGCTAGAAAATTGATGATAGAAATGTTACTGTAAGAACAGCAGAGCGGCGACAGGTAAATTTAACCAGACTAGAGAAAATTTCCCTTTTTTGCGTTGCATTGTTTGTTTCCTGAAATTGCAACACTGTAAACTTTGGGTTTGAAAAAATTGAGGGTGAATCCCTTGTTGACCTTTGGATGAGCAGTTGTCACATTTTGCTTGCTCAAGGTCACTCACAGATCTTAGTAAAGGATTTAGTAAATAGAAGATGACATACTGGCTCTTGCCCACTGGGCAAGTGAGTATGAAAGTTACAGTACTTGCCGAGCCGGAAAATCTAGGGTGCTTACCATTTACACAAACCATCCGGGTGGAAATCTTGTGCATCAACATGAAACTATAAAATTGGACGTGATGGGAGAATGACCCGCAACAAAGTAGATCAAGATATTAAAAGTTGAACGGACTAAAAAGAGTCGCAAAATTGCATTGCCTGAAATCACAGCCCATATGGTGTGAACCATTTGATTTCCAGCTGGAATTTCTGGTTTTCCCATGTAAATGGTAGATGCAAGTACCCCATAGTTGTCCCAGATTGCTTGACGGGACTTTTATGAGCCTTGATACCTATAGGTTTTATTCTCAAATTTTCTGTATACCTGCATTGTTTATGTAGATCAGTACTAGCCTTTTAGAATATTTGCAGGTTTTCTCTGATTTGTTATTTTGGTTTTAGTGTTGATGAACTAATAAAACTGAATTTAACGTACGGTCACAATTAAGTTATAACAGGAACAAACTCCCTTTGGATCCCTCCCTGACCTTAAAAATCTTTTTAATTTTTTTTTTGTTATAAATAACAGGAAAATTGTGTTAAGAGGAAACCCCGTGGGTTATTATTGCATAGATGTATTTTATTGATCATTCATATTTCATCTCTAGGTGTTCATAAAATGCTATTACATGCTGCAGGGTTGTCACTAAGGGGCCGGGGACCGGGGATTTCCCTCGGCTACTATGAGCATGACCCTCGACTATTTTCTTAGGAAACAATGATAAGAATGATAAGACCAGAAGTAAATATCTCCCTGGCTGTTCAGTTCCCCACCTACTAACTGCATATACTGATAACATGAAATCTTTGCGACAACCCTGATCCTCGCATTGGCCTGCAGATGAAGTTAACTCATGCAGTCTGTAGTCACAAGCCTTTCTTTCAGATCAGTTAGGCATAACCTGCTTAAAACTTCAGAGTGATGATTGATGTTATGTTTATAGCCTCAAAACGTAGAGGTTGAAAAGAAAAGGAAAGGTGTTGATGACAACAATCCAACACTTTACTGGGAGTATAAATGGGCTGAAGATGGTAACGCAGAGGTAATTTACGAAAAATTTTACTCTTAATTGATATTTAACCAAACGACATGATCATATGACCATTTGTACGTTGTCTTCCGAGCCACGTGAATATCTAGCCGTGTACAGCCAGGGCAAAGGAGGAACTTTCATTTCTCAGTTATTTTAAGACCCTCAATAAACCAAGGCCTCCCGTTCTGCAGATCAGAACTGATCTGATCATGTGGAGTATAAATGGGCTGAAGATGATAATGCAGAGTTATTTTGTGAAAAATTTTACTCGTAATTAGTAATCCATCGACATGATCATATCAGTAATTAAAAAATTTAATGGAGGACAAGAAGGCAGTGTAAACGTTGTAACGTTGTAAAATAGAATATAACGTAAGGATTACATGCCAGTTATGTTCTCGACTTCATTTTACAGGTGTATGGACCATATGAGACCAGCTTGATGTTGCAGTGGTCAAAAGCTGTGAGTACACTTTAATGTTTCGCCTGTTATCCAACGCCCGCCATAATGTTGTGTTGATAGCACACAGACAGACCGAAAAACGGACAGATTGATTGATTCACTTTTATTTGAATATGGTAATTTCATTTAGTTACAAAACTTATTTACCTGAAAGTCGTATTGAAACAGAAGTAAATACTAATTTCGATGAAGATATGATCATCTCAGTGGCGATTGAAATTTAGGCAATTGCAAGTTAAACTGACAAACAAATTTCGGGATTTCAACAGCATTCGAACCCATGGCAACGTGCAAAGAAAGTGGTGTCCAATAGCCCGGGGCTAGTGGATTTTGCTACTGTGGTAGTGAATTCTGTTTTTACTTTGCCTGACAGGCAAGTGATGTTTTTTGAAGAATTCGAATTACTGAAGAACTGTGAAATCAATTGATTGGGGCTAGTTGAAATGATGTCTGGGCTAGTAAATGCTAGCTTCAGCTTGCCCGAATGGCAAGCTGTAAAAATGATTTTCTTTGCACCCTGCATGGCCTCTGCGTTGCAATGCTCTACCAACTGAGCTATTAGAACGGTTTTCACTTGACTGTCGTAAAACCAAAACCAAAGTAAATACACTAGCCAACCAAAGGGCGTAGTAAAACCAAAACCAAAACCAAAACCAATCCCTTTCGACAGTCAAGTGAAAACCGCTCTAAGACCCATACATTAAGAGCTCTTGATTCTGTTTCATTCCTTTCACGGGTTATGATGAACTCCACAAATTGGCCTGCTCCCAATGAATGGGTCTTCATAGCTCATTTGGTAGAGCACTGCAGCGCTAACGCATAGGCCTTGGGTTCGAATCCCGTTGAAGCCCCGAATTTTTGGGGGGTTAATTTGGAATTGCTTAAATTACAATTACCACTATGACGATCATGTCTTCATTGAAATTTGTATTTCCGCAGTTCACATCATCCTCGAAGTAAATACTTTAGAATTACTCTAAAAACAATATGTACAGGTGATTTTTTCTTTTAAAAATAGCTTTATATTCGGATCCCCCTTGGTCAGTTACCATAAATCCTCTATTAAGCTCCCACTCTCAAATAAGCCCCCCCCCCTTTTTCAAGGGAGGAAAGTAAATAAGCCCCCTCCCCTCCCCCTTGTTATATTTCACTAATAAATGATAGACTGTATTAATGGATCACGACTTTAAAACTTCATGTGGACTGATACGGGATGGTTCATTTACCAACTGCAAGTTCGGATTTGTTTTTGATTCTCAGCCACATGACCTCTAACTTCTTGTACTTGAGCTTTTTCACTTTGTTTTCTAGTTTTCTATGGAGAACTAATACCATCGTCTGGGTTAAATGAATAAGGCCCCAGTCTCTATAAGCACTCCTCAAGGGGGGCTTAATACAGGATTTACGGTAGTATGAATTCCACAGCATGAGAAAGATCCTTTATAATATTCTGTCTTTGGAATATGATCCAGTGCAACATTATAATCTGTGTTTTTTAGCTTCGACTAATGATAAGTAAGACTAATAACAAGCAACTACAATCGGCGACAAAATTGTTGAGACATTGTACTTAAATAGGGTGACTTCGGAGAACAAAAGAATCCGCACCCCTTCCCTGTCCCCTCCATTCAAAGTTGGAGTGTTTGTTGTTTTCTATAAGTAGCTAGAACAGGGGCCCAACATTGTACGGAGGGGATGGGGGAGGAAAGCTATATTTCCTCCTTTTGAAGTTGATAAAACGTAAAAAAGCCTACTTTTGGGCGAAGTGTCTCAACTCATTTTGTCGCCGATTGTCTGAATCGAAATCTACGCGCTGTTGTCGTATTAGCACCGGTTAGGAGACGGTAACTAGTTGAGATTACTATATTCACCGGGTCGTTTTTCAGAAGATAGATAATATACCCATATAATCCCTTTCCTGTGTTTTTCGAGGGAAAAACTGGTTTTGACAATCTTTGTACTCGGTAGTGATTTCAAGTAATTACGCAGCATACCCACGTACCGAATGATTGATTTTCCTCTGGTAACTAAGTGTGATCGGTAGGAATTGATGGCAGATAATATGTTGTATTTGAATATATCCCTAGTAAGTTCGAAGTGTTTATTCGAAGTTTGGCTATTTGATAAGGGTGGGATGGACGATAAAATAGCCATGATCGCTATGCGCAGGAGAATTTTCAGGAAAAATGTTCCAACTTCTAATGCACAGCAAAGCTGCATAGCGTCGCTAAATCTGTGCAGCAGATTCCTTGCCCATATACCCATGAGGGTCTTTGAAGAATGTACTTTACGGTAGAAACTATGAGGTCAGGAGGAGACTGGCCACGAGTAACCAAGAGTAACCAACTTTGTTCGTAAAAGATAATTAGATTATTTTGTTTTTTACTCTGACCGTGGTTACTCGTGGTTACTCGTGGAAATTCGTCCTAAAGAGCAATTTTAGCCATTATAACTACTTTAATGCCTAGAAAACTATTAAGTCTTCTATCCTTTTCACTTTGTTCTTTGTTTCGATGCGTTTCGATAAAGGAGAGAATAAGAAATCGTGCCCGACGCGCCACATCGCACGATGTCAAGGCACGGTTAAGCGTGACACGAAATGTCACGCACTGAAAATAACGAAATCGCCTTATTCTAATTGTTCTAAGATAGGTATAATGACGTCAAACATAACAAATAAAAAGCCAACAGGGATCTTACATCCCAGCATAAAAAAATGAATTCAATTAACTTTCTAAAGGACGTACGGCCACTTTTGAGATTCAGACAATCGGCGACAAAATTGTTGAGACATTGTACTTAAATAGGGTGACTTCGGAGAACAAAAGAATCCGCACCCCTCCCCTGTCCCCTCCATTCAAAGTTGGGGTGTTTGTTGTTTTCTATAAGTAGCTAGAACAAGGGCCCAACATTGTACGGAGGGGATGGGGGAGGAAAGCTATATTTCCTCCTTTTGAAGTTGATAAAACGTAAAAAAGCCTACTTTTGGGCGAAGTGTCTCAACTCATTTTGTCGCCGATTGTAGGTAAATTTCGATTTACTTTATCATACAATAATAGGCTCAAATGCCTTTGCCTTCTTGGGGCAAGCTCCTCCCAGTTTGACTGTTTTCTTATTTCTGTTGAACACACATCGTACCCTTGGAACGTTATTATGCGTACAGCACGATCAGAGAAGTAATTGCACAATCAAATCTCAATTATTTTCTCAGACTTTGTTAAAAGTCATCTTCAAAAGTAGATCTACCTGTAACGAAAACGCTGTTTCAATTTCTGTACAGAATGATAGGGCCTTCATCCACTTTTTATTTATATTTTATCTCAGGGCTATTTTGACGCAGGATGTTGGGTACGACAAAGCGAGACAAATAAAAGTGGCGAGGAGAAAAATGAACCTAACAGGGGAAGGCTGGTGGATCAGTGTTACTCGGACTCAAGCGACTCAGAGGATGAAGATACGACTGAGGGGGACCACCCAGGGAATGTTTTTGTACATGTGTCTGAGATTGACTTCTCAATCTTTCCCTAGACGTACATGTTATAATTCTAGATACTTTGTCTCAGATTCATGACTTCCAAAAGGTGATAAGGCATCTGCAAGAGACTGACAACTGAAATCGGATCCCTAAAAGCAAGGAATTTGTGTTCGCGTAAACACACTCGTTTGAGTTGGAACGTGGACAGATCAGCAAAGTCGCCCCCACGTCCCAGATCCAAGAGCTACGAACAAGAATACGGACAGAATTGGATCCTTCGGAAGCGATAGCACATAGTAAAGAAACTTCGGTTGAAGCCTGATCTCTCTCACTTCAGCTGGCAGTGTTTTGGCACTGGCACTTCAAAATGTGCTGCGTCAAATGTAACTACACTGTAACAAGTTAAATAGACTGACTGCTTCCAGCTAAAAATGACAATAGAACATCTTCGTTCGAACGGAACTGCTATGAACCATTTTTACATAGTGCACTTGCAGGATTTGATGGTTACTTTCATGGAAGTAACGTGGGAATAATTTTTGGTAGGTTTAATATTGTCCTGGCAGTTATTTATAGAGAACTAAGAAGGCAACGTTCAATTATAAAAATCGCATTAAATGTATCAGTTTACATTGCTGATGATGTTATTTGTAGTGCAGCAGTCACTCTGTGTCCGTATTTTTCACTAGGTTTTCTCCTTTCCCTACTGGATTATTGTGTTATTTGTTCCAGTCCTGTCGAGTTGATACGGAATCTCGATCAGGACCCAATGTTATAAAAATTAAATTGGTGAACAAATGTCGTAAAATTTGTTTGATGTCTACATGTATGCAAACGAAAGTGTGAGATACTCAATAACACAGTACTTCCAATAAGAGGATCTTGATGAGCTTAATTCTTAACTCGTATGCTAGTAAACTGAAATTTGCCAAAATGTGAACTTTATTGTTTTCCTTGAGTTTGGCTAAGGATTTAGAATGAAAACGGGTCGACGATGTTGACATGCCGTCAGAGATGTGAGCGTTATTATGAAGCCTTCAAAGACAAAATGCAAAACAGGGAAGGTGATTTGCAATTTGAGGAACACGAAATTTTTCTGCTATTGATTATCAGTGTCCCAAGGCTCTTGATATCGCAGTAGTTAAATCGATTATAGAACACTTCTTATTTCCTCAACCAGAAGTATTGCCTATCGCGCGAAACGGCAATTTGATTTTTGTTGTCTTGAGATGGATCACGGCAAATCTGAGAAGAAACTTCATAAAAGGAAGTGCTTGTCTGACCTGTTGTCTCCACACTTGGTCATTTTTGTGGGTGTTGTTTTGGCTGCCACGTGCGTTGCTTTGGTGGTCTTGAATGTTCGAATGAATCGACGTATTTCTGCGTTCAACGACACTTTAGAGGAGCTGCGTCGAGAAGGCAAGAAAGCCTCTACTGTTAACGATTCTGCTACGGTGTCTTCTGGATTGGGCACTAGAGAAAAGAGGGCAATTTCAAACACAACTCCCGGTCAGAAATCGGATGTTGAAAAGCGATTGAACGCTGTGGAAGAAAGGTGAGTTTTAAAAAATGAAATGAAATCAAAACAAAAACGCCCCCTTATCTTAGGATTAGATCACAGTCAGTTTGCAGTATTACAGAATAACTCGGACATCAAGATGATTCTGATGATTGTAATAGTTTAACGATTGCTAGTAAGTTCTCAGGGTGCTACTAGCATGATTAGGATATTGTCATTTTATATACTGAAATCCTGCCAGAAGTGGCCATATGCCAGTGATAAAAAACACATCATTTGTTTGGATTTTCAAAATTTAGTTTCAAATATCCGTTAATGCTATCTCTTCACCCCTACAAGTCAACAAGTTAACATTTTTGGCAAGGAGCTTTATTCGCAAGAGAAGTAAAATGACATCGACATCCGAACGGTAAGATAATACAAACAAATTATACAAGAAAAAGACCATGTATGTCCCAAGATGGCTGGCTCTCGGAACATCTTGGCCTATTAATAGTAACCGAAAAGTTGTCCCCTAAAAATCAGCGAAAAACCCGCAGACGTGCTATAAATCGAAGAAAACCGAAAAATCGCCCTGTTCAATGACCGAAAAAGGGCAAAACACCATTGTTACATTAGACTTGCAGACTTTTTTGTAACTACTGTGAAACTACGTGGAAGTTGTACCTTTCTAAAATGGGCTATCTGTTACACGTAAAAATTCGATCCCGTGCCTGTTATAACTAAGACGCAGAAGAAAACATCACAAAAACGATAACCGCTCATACGGAAACTAAAACCGAAAAACCGCAAAGATCAAGAGCAAAACCTAGAAACCGATCTCCCTAAAATTGCTTGAAACCGATAAAACCCAACAACTTACTTAAAGTAACTTCATGATACTTTTTCCTTTTCTTCCAGGGTCGGAGCGCTATTTAACAGGTCGGGATTTTTTTCCAGCAAATTGAGGGTCCAAAAGCTCTTTTCCTACATAATTCGAGGTATTGTAATTCGCACGGTTGCGTTAAAAAAGTCGGCTAACAGGGACTTGGTTATTTTGGACTGAAAAAAACGAAGTTGGGTTCACTAGAACCAAGAGAAAATAATTGGCCGGAGAGAGAGGGAATCCTAGGGAGTTTGCTGGAATATGTGAATTTCACTTAAGTTATTTTTAGCAGTTGTTATTAAACGGAAGTCTTATTCCTGAGACGTCCGTACATTTTAATCGATCGCTTGAAACGTCATCAATTGCACGCGCGACTGCCTAAAAGCCAGCAAACAATGCAGAATATTGTTATGGATACTGTTAAATTCTCTATTGACAACACTGAATAAAAGTTTGCGGACCTCTCCAGAAACCAACTTGCGATTAATTTCAAGTGTTAGATTGGCCTAAAAGTAACTTTCATCAAATTCACATATTTAGATTAAGCGTTTCCCTTTTCGTCCCTTTTATATTCTCTCTTGCTCGAACTAAGATTAGTTTGTTGTTTGTTTATTTTTTTGGCTTTGGCCACTGCCACTCCAACAAACTTGAGACACTAGGATCAGAAGAAAATCAGGCTAGGAATACGGGATTGTTATATCCCATGGGCTCCTGGTTTTATCAAACACAGAAAATGGACGAAATTTAGCTTTTCGTAAAATGTCCTTGAAACTTGATCAAACACTATTTTGCATTTATTCCAAGTGAATAATTTAACCTCAAATTTCGTTTCATTACAGGACGGGACGGCCGCGATGGAAAGGATGGCCCAACAGGTCCGCCAGGATTACCCGGAAAACCAGGGATACCAGGCAACCCTGGATTATCTGGTGTTGGGTTCCCTGGGAAAGCTGGGCCGCCTGGTAAGGACGGTCCACCTGGCAAATCTGGGGCAAAAGGTACTTAACTTTGATTTCTTTGGCTTCTTTAACAGCGAGAAACTGAGCACAAACTGATTTGGTACTTTTCCTGGAAGAACACCTATAGAAGACATTTTCGAAAAGTCTTTTAACATTGTATTTCTGACCACTCACAGGAGATGCTGGTAAGCCGGGCGTTAACAGACCTTTTCCAGGCCCTCCTGGTCCCAAAGGAGAGAGAGGTTCTGCTGGAAGTCCTGGGTTGAAAGGGCCTCAAGGACCAAAAGGCGAAAAGGGAAAGGAAGGAGCTGGGAAGTCTGGAGTGAAATATGTTCGTTGGGGAAGGACCACTTGTCCAAGAGGTGCTGAGCTAGTTTACAAAGGTAAGTCAGCTCCGCCTTTTATAAGAAATTTTTTTTACGATCTATTTCATGAATAAATACAGAAATAAATAAATAGATAAATAGATAAGTAAAATGTTTTTCTTCACTGCTTTATGTTTCGAATTTGTTCTGCTATTGTGCTTAATACTTTGTAGGTATAATAGGTGGAGAACATCACGCTCATCAAGGTGGTGGAGTTAACTACCTTTGTCTTCCACGCAATCCAACGTACGACAGGTACAGCGATGGCGATCAGTACTCAGCATACATGTACGGAACCGAGTATGAAGTCCCTCAGTACAATGGGAACCCTTTCAAAAGAAATCTCCATAATCACGACGCACCTTGTGTTGTCTGCTTTGTCAAATCACGTGGTTCATTGCTGATGATGCCCGCACGAAATGACTGTCCATCTGGATGGACCGAGGAGTATCATGGGTACCTGATGAGTTCATGTTACAACCACCCAGGCCAAAAAGACATCGTCTGTGTTGACAAAGACCCAGAACGTGTTCCTGGCAGCCACGTCGGCCGAAGGGAAGCTTTGCTGTACCCTGTAGAAGGTCTTTGTGGCTCACTGCCGTGTCCTCCATATGTTAAGCATCGAGAACTGACATGCGTTGTGTGCACAAAATAGATTTAAGCTGTAGTAATATCTGTGTAACAAAAAAATAAACAAAAGGAGTAGAAAACAAATAATAAAGTATCGTAGTCACTATGTGTTGATGTCAGGGTTGATTTAAAGCCGATGTAATTCGCAAATGATACTTCCAAGGGTGCGCCAATCCATTCTTTCCCCCATTTATCGTCGTCCGACTGAACCAGCTGATTTTGCGTTAAAAAGTGACTTTTGCCTAAGATTTATTGGTACAGTTAGGTCGCCCGCCAGCTTGCACACATACAGTGAACGCTGAGCAAGACTGAAGCGTGAATGTTTGATCCTCGAGCCCAGATGACAACCCATCTATGCTCCGGCATGGAATAGTCTCTAAATCCCATGTATCCCGGCATGCCGATAAACTACTTATTTCAGCCTGTCTTTCCAAGCTCATTCATCAGCATTACAATTTAAAGGCTTACATAATAATGTTAGTACAACTCGAAATCTAACACTCTCCAAAACGGCTTCAAAATGCCACTAGAAGCCAACTGGCTGTACAAAACACAATACAAACAACAGGTAACTCATTTTTATCTTGAATCTTTTAAAAAAGTGGAATTTAGAACACATTTTATTTGTTGTCATACATTCTTCCCATAGAGCCTGGGCTGCCGTCATAGTATTTGCCCCTTGCCAGATTTGATGGCCTACATTTACTTAGAGGGTCTGAATGGGGGGGTTCACTTGTCGGTTGTCGGTTAAAATTCAGTAATTTTGTCGGTAGTCGGTTAAAATTTTCGATCTTTGTCGGTAGTCGGTTAAACTTTTCGATTTTCGGCAGTTGTCAGAAAATCTCAGTTAATAAGTAAAAACGCTTGTTAATTATTAATATTTTTTATGTATTTCACCCACTTTTCAAGACTTTGATCTCTAAGGAAAGAGTAAAACTTGCAAGAATGCATCATTTGATTGCGCCTAAACCGTTCATTAACTCTTGTTTTTTATGCAACATGAACGTTTATTTCATCATTGTTTGCCATTAAATGAATAATTAGTACTGATAAAATCACCCAAGCTTTTATTGTAAATGCGAACTTGGTTTCCCTGTCGACTACAGGGCACAGTAAAAAGTAATTAATTATTTACTTACTGGACTCTAGCCTTTTGGATACTTGAATTATTTTTATTAAAAAACTGCAAGGGATGACAGCCTGCACATCTATCCCTCTCATGTTTTGGTTCTAACAAGCATGTCCTTTGCCATAAGTTTCCTTTCTCAAAGAAATAGCACTTTAGGTGGTTCTTTAAAATTTTGGCAGGGTAGTGGTTGGTTTTGTATGAGATTCCACTTTTTCATTAAAGCTTCTTTTTTATAGACACTAAGGGCTGGTATTGTGTCACGAAAGGCAATATTTCCGTCTTTTTCTTCCTGGTTGTTTTTTTTTCAGGAGCGCTGCCTTCCTTTCTTTGAGTTTTACTTCTAATAGCAATTTTTCTTTCAAAATTGTGTGGCTAGCCTCTGTCCATCAAGCGCTTTTGAAATCTGAAATACTTCCTCACAGGAGTTTGTTCCTAGGATTCTCAAGGCTTCTCGTTTGTCAAACAGAGGTGAAAATGTATATACTGTAAGGTTTCCGTTTCAAATGCGTCTTTACGTCAAGGATAGCTTTTTCTCATTTTTTCGCTGAATGTTGTACCTTGGTATACAACCGTTTCTAAAAAGAATGTCTCATTTTCAGATCTTTCGGCCGTGAATTTCATAGTAGGGTTATGTAAAATAAGTTTACTTGTTCCGCGTAGAAAGCTACGATGTCTGGTTTACTTACGTCCCACAGGGAAAAAATGTCATTTATGCAGCGTTTTCAAACAGTTGGTTTAAAGACGGTTTTGCTTAAACTTTGTGTTTCAATGTGTGCCATGAAAATGTTGGAAAGGAAACTGCTGTCTTAGTGCTCATCGCGGTAACGTGGGTTTGTACTGATAGTTCTTTACATTAAACCGGAAAGAATTTTCTTTGAGGATTAATCTAAGCAAAAAACTTTCGGTTTTTTCACCTTTAACTTTTTAATAAAATTTATAAAGTCGATAGTATCTTTAAGGTGTTTCTTTGTGATTTTGATATTGGCTGTAGCAATGTACCTGTATCAACAACAAAAAAAGGAAATTCTTTCCTTAGGCCATCTGATGAGTCATAAATTTAAAGAGGTTACTTACTTCCTCGAGCTAACGGTTAGATTAAATACAAAATGCTCTTTTTTCTGGAAACAAATATTGATAATATCAGCCCATGTCGGTAGTCGATCAATATTTTTCCTGTCGGTAGTCGGTAATTTTTTACTCATTTTGTCGGTAGTCAGTAATATTTTTCGCCCTTTGTCGCTAGTCGGTTAACCCCATTCACACCCTCTTACTTACGTTGAATTAACATGTGAATAATTTCTGGTTCGTTGTATTGTCCTGGCAGTCATTTATAGAGATCTGAGGAGTGAATATAGATGTATGTTCAATTGTAATAATTGTATTTAATATATTAAATGTGCATTTGTTATACAGCAGTTTTACCCTTATGTTTGTAGTTGGTCTTTTCACATCCATCGTATCACTTGCATAAACTACAGCGTACAATAGATACTTGTCGATCTTCGATTATTACTCCCTGTTAAAGTTTCAGTTTTACATTTTCTTAATCGTCATTAACTTTTCACTTTAATTCCCTGCACACTGTTTCCTTTGTTCCAGTCGAGTGGATACAGAACCGACACAGAACGCAATTTTATAAACAGCAGTCTGGTGTAATTCAAATTGCCGCAGGAAAATGCTTGTTAATTTAAATTTACTGAAGTGTACATGTTATTAGTTATTTTTCTTGAGTTTGGATTAGCACTTAGAATTGACCACTCCAGAAATACCATAACATACCATAATGCTCTTTGTTTGTCACCCCAAAATTTTGCATAAGCATTGTCTTCAGTTTCTCTTGGGGCCATTTTAACTCCCAAGAGAAACTGAAGACAATGCGTATGCAAAAGTTTGGGGTGACAAACAAAGAGCATTATGGTATGTTTTGGTATTTTCTGGAGTGGTCAATTAAATAGTGAGGACAATTGGTGTTTACAGGGGTTTTATGAAGCCCTCAACTGAGACAAAATGCAAAACAGGGAAGGTGATTTGCAATCATGTTGCGAACACGAACATTTTCTGCCAGTGATAATTATATTAGGGTCCAAAGGCCCTTGATAATGTACTACTCGTAGGTAAATAAATTATTATAGATCACTTCACATTCCGTAATCAGAAGAGTGACTTATACCGACAACAGTTATTCAATTTTCGAAGTCACCAGATGGATCACGGCAAATCTGTAAAGAAAACCAATGGGAAACTGCTTCTCTGACCTATTGGCGTGTTCACGCTTGGTCATTTTCTTGTCTGTTGTGTTGGTTGCGACCTTCGCAGCTTTGGTGATCTTGAATCTTTGGATGGTTTGGCTTATTTCTGCCTTGGAGGAACTGCGTCGAGAAGGCAAGCAAGCCTCTATTGTTAACAATTCTGCTACCTATCGTCTGGATTGAGCTCTAGAGGAAAGAGGCCAACTTTCAAATACAACTCGCTCTCAGAAATCAGACATTGAAAAGCGCTTGAAGGCTGTGGAAGAAAGGTGAGTTACTAATGAAATCAAATTATAATCAAAGCTTAAAAACGCCCTCCTAATCTCAGCATTAAGTGTTAAAGGGCAAAGGGTCAGTATGTCTTTTTGGCATGATAGACTCCAAAATTTATCAATGAAGAAGAAGATAAAATAAAACCTTGGGGAGGAAACAGAACTAAAACGTTGGTTTCCAAAAGTTTTCTGTCAAGATGTCCTTAACAAATAGTCTTCAACGACCGCCTGGCCGACACTGGTTACTTAATTAACTGATGAACAGTGGCGCTTCGCTAGAATCGTCATAGCCTGTTACTGAAGCTCTCTGGTGCTACTGTGCTGCTTAGAATTGTCATGTTCTATAACATTCTCGCCACTACTAAAAAGCACTGCCAGGTAATTTGGACTTTAAAACTTTGATTTCAAATATCACTCAGCAGCTGATATCCGCTGCCCCTTGATGTTATAAATTTAACTTTTTTGGCAAGGAGCTTTGTTCGCAAGAAAAGTAATGACATCGTGATGTCAGAACGGTAACAAAGTACACATGACTTACGCCTATACAAGAAAAAACTGTATATGCCTTCGCTTGCTCTCGGGACATATGGGCTTGGTGACAGTAACGCAAAATCAGTCGAGGCCTGAAAATCGGAGAAAAACGTGAAGACTTGAATGACACAAATCCGACTATGAAAACCGAATAATTACGGTTGTCAATGATCGAAAAGACAACACACCTTGTTTCTGCTGTTGTTTATGGCCATGGACTTAGCTTTTTGTAACTAATTTAATTAATTTGAAACTTCCTTGAAGTTCACGGTACCCCAGAATGTGACATTAAAGGTGACAAGAAAATTCCCTCAGTGTGCCTAGTCTTATAAAGAAGCAAAACAGAAATTGAGTCCTGACACAAAACCGAAAAAACGATGAACGCTAAGGAAACTAAAACCGAAAAGGCAGAAACTAAACACCGATACCAAAAAATTAAATTGGTTAAAAAACTGAAAAACCGAAAAACATGCTAACAACTCAGTTCAAGTTACCTCATCATGCTTTCTGCGTTTTTTTTTTCGGGGTCGGAGCGCTATTAAACACTGAAGTCGGAATGTTTTTCCAGCAAGTTAAGGGTCCAAAAGCGCTTTTTCTATATCATTCGAGGTATTGTGATTCACATGTATTGATCACAAAGTTGGGATAATATCTGGTCTGGGCCCTGATGTGTAAAATGGTAATAGGAATTGATATGATCTCTTGGATTTGACTGAAAAAATGCAGTTGATTTCACTAAATTTCTGACTGGTTTGTTTGTATGTTTGCCACTGCCCACTGATTACAAACTTGCATGGGACACTTCGCTAAAAAATGAAATAAATAACTGAAATAAAATAAAATGAAAATAATCGTCTGCATGGGTGTATGGGAGTGGTATCAAGCACATAAAAATGAAGAAAATCTAGCTTTTCGTAAGATGTCCCTGAACTTGATCCAATACTTCTTTAACTCCGAATTGATAATTCAACTTTAAATTTCGTTTTATTACAGGACGGGACGGCCGCGATGGAAAGGATGGTCCCACAGGTCCACCAGGATCACCTGGATAACCAGGAATACCAGGAAACCCTGGAGTACCCGGCGTTGGGGTCCCCTGGGAAAGCTGGACCGCCTTGTAAGGACGGTCCATCTGGTAAACCTGGGGTAAAATTATACTCAGCCTGATTACTTTTGCTTCTTTAACAGCAAGAAACTGATCAGAAAAGAAAGGTTTCCTTTACAGCGTCTACCAAGGTTAAATTTTTAGCTTTAGTTTTTTTAAAAATCTTTAGTTTAGTTTTTTCCTGGAAGAGCAACTACGGAAGACAATTTCCAAAAATCATTCAACCTTGTATTTTTGACTACTCACAGGAGATGCTAGCAAGCCGGGTGTTAACAGGCCGTTTCCAGGCCCTCCTGATCCCAAAGGAGAGAGAGGTTCTGCTGGAAGTCCTGGGTTGAAAGGGCCTCAAGGACCCAAAGGCGAAAAGGGAAAGGAAGGAGCTGGGAAGTCTGGAGTGAAATATGTTCGTTGGGGAAGGACTACCTGTCCAGGAGGTGTTGAGGCAGTTTAGAAACGTACGTCATCACAGACACCGGTTAACTGAGACTGCATTCTAGCTACTACTAAAAGGTTTTAGAAGCTAGTGTAATAAAGTAGAGTTAAGCCTCCGACGTACAGGCAAATTCATACCCCCACCGTGGTACAGAGGGGCGGGGTGTGGATGGAACCCCTCCTCAGAGTTTTTGATATGTTGCAGTCTTTCAAAACGATTTTACCTGTAGTGGAAAGCCTTTGATCTTCTTAACAAGATGAGGTATATTTTATGGGTGGTGGTGCTGCTAGAGGCCTGTGACGTCACCAGCAATGGTCGTCATCTTGGATTTAAACAGGTTAAAACTGCGAGAAATGGTAGAAATGGTAGAAATGGTCGTCATCTTGGGTTTTACCAAGAATTAGAAATCAGGTTAAGACTGCGAGAAATGGTAACTTTTTGAGCGTTACATGAAAATAACACATAAATAAGCATTTTGCTTGATTTTAGCCAAAAGATTTACTTTTATTGTTGAAAAAAGTTGAAAAAACATGTATTTTCGCCCAAAAATGGCTTGAGCACTGCTACTTATGACGTCATATCTCGTAACCATAGCAATTGACCATCACTATAAACCTGTCTCAAAATGTGCGCGAGGGATGAACAAACAGCTACTAAAAACATCAGGTGCTGATGTTTTATCCTCTAGGAAAAACTCGGAAAAACCTTAGAGGGTGGCATCCACCCCCCCACCCCTTGTACGTCCGAGGGTTAAGTTATTGTTAACTTCAAAATTTTTTCCATTTATTATCTTTTTCACAAGGGTAGTATAAAGGCCTTCACTGTTTTAAGTTTGCAGAAACAGCCTCCACTTCAAATACTTGGCAAACGGAGAATTTTTTTGACATCTCGAACATTCATTTCTTTATCAAATACTTGGCAAACGGAGAATTTTTTTGACATCTCCAACATTCATTTCTTTATTTACAGTTGCTGAATCATTTTGAGTCATTGCAAAGAAGAACGGATGAGAAGAGTTTCAGTAATTACCTTTTATTGCAGAGATTTATAAGCGCTACAGTTCGAGTGCTGTAAATCCAGTTTGTCGTAACGATATTTTGCTCTGTTGTGCTGTCAGTTACTAAGAAAGTGAAATTTGTTGTGACTACACTTTATAGCGGAGTAATGTACCTTTTTAAGCTTGTAGGTTTTCATCCTCAGGTTTAATGGGAGGTGAATATTACAATCACCAATGCAAGGCGGTGTAGTAAACTACCTTTGTCTTCCACACAATCCAAGTACGACAGGTATAACGATGGCGATCAGTACTCAGGATATGCTGAATATGGGGTCAGCTCCTACAGCAGCTATCCTTTCAGACGAAATCTTCATAATCACGAGGTGCCTTGCGTTGTCTGCTTTGTCAAGTCACGTAGCTCAATGTTGATGATGCCCGCACGGAATGACTGTCCATCTGGATGGACCGAGGAGTATCATGGGTACCTGATGACCTCATATTACAACCTCCGGAACCAAAAAGACTTCGTCTGTGTTGACAAAGACCCAGAGTATGTCCCGGGGACTAATGGGAACAAGGATGGTGCCTTGTTATACTTTGTGGAAGGGGGCTGTGGCTCACTTCCATGCACTCCATATGTTCTGCATCGAGAGCTGACATGTGCTGTTTGCACCAAGTAATAAAACTTCTCTCGTCAATCTCAGAGAATCAGCCTATAATCAGGGCTTAAAAATAAAACTGGAGAAGGAAATGAAAATCGATCTTGACTCAGTTCGTATCACTACTATAAAAGCTGTTTAGCCCGCCTGGCAAGCGTCAGCTAGTTTTGTTTTTGTTAGTTTTATAGAGGACTCCATCTTTCCTTTTCTCCCCTCGTGCACGCATGCTTCCTCGATGTTTCTCCTTTCGCCCAAAAACTCTGGCTCGTGCTACGCAGGCTGAAAACTGTCATGTTCTGAAAGGTTTGAAGGTGCTCTTTCAAAATGCATCTCAAAGGTTGGAATGAAGTTTAGGCTTTGCAGAAGCTGCGAAAGTTCGATCAGTTATTTCTTATTTTTTCAATCTAGACTATTTGAGTACCCTCCAAGCCTCTGGGCAACGATCATGCCATGGCACAGATAGAAAATAATATGCACAATAAAGAGATTTTCCTATCTTTGTTCTTACACGTGACTACGAAACAAGTATCTTTACTGGGCATGCCTCTTGCAACATACAAAAGAAAGAGAATAAGAAAGAAAAGAGTCATTTTCATAAAGCAATCATGGAGGAAACGAGAGGAGGGAAGAGGAGAGGAGGGCTGGTGAATCTTTGCTACTGTCCTTGTTCTCAGGCGATTCAAAGGGCGAAGATAGGTGAGAGTAGGCCACTCGGCTGTTGTCTCAGCGAATGTGTTTTATGCATGTTTTTTAAGATCGACTTCTCTATCTGTATGGCGGGGACACACTTCAGTATAAGTCGGTAATCCTGTCAGAAATCGTGTTCTTTATTCAAGAATTCCTAAAGGTGTAATTTGATGTAACATGGTCTTCAGGTGTATGAACCGTATGAGACCAGCTTGATGTTGCAGTGGTCAAAAACTGTGATTACTCTTTCATTTTTTGCTAGCCTGCGTAGCATGGCGGTTTTGGTTGGGCGCGCAAAGTAATAGGGAACTTAAGATGGAGACGTTTTCGGGGCGACGGCGACCGGACTGGTTCAGAAAGCCTGGAACTAAGGCAGCCGTCGCTCCCCGTCAAAAATAGAACATTAAGATCGCAGTGAACTCAGAAGGACGGCGCCTTTAATTAGAAGAATACCGAAGAGGAAAATATGGCCTCACATAAAGAATTAAGAGAATAAATATTTGCTATGCAGACAACATGTATCGGATGAAGAGTTTCTCGTTTTGTGGGAAAATTATGAGTCCAAAAATCCCGATTTTCCTCGGGACAGTTACTATCCGTTCATGCTAAAAAAACTTGCGGGATGCAGCTAAGTTCAAGGCAGAATTTCGTGTTGAAAAAAATGATCACCACAGGCTTGCCGAAGCCTTGCAAATTACAGGAACATTAAAATGCTACCAAGGAACCGTATTCTTAGTTTGGTACTGAAATAATTCTCGGGAAATACTTGCATGCAACAACAACAACAACGGCAACAACTTTATTTCAGTATTCCCACGCCGAGTTAGTACATGGTATTACCTACTATTCTATATAATTTTCAATGCGTTTCATTTATACGATATTCTAACGAAAAGAGCGAACTAAAAACAAACAATTGAAATATGGGAGTTCATATTTTTTGTCTGGATACTTTTATTTGGCTCGTGGGAAAATTTTGTCCCATGTCAAGCTCACTTACGGTTGGCTGTTTGCCAAGTTGGATCTTGACCCTGTGACATGAAAACATAGAAACATTCAAAGACGTAAGTTTAGATAACAGAGCTTGTAAATCGACCTTGAAATGTGCCTCAAAGAAAACAAGGACAATTTAAGAACGATAATCTGCAAAATTTTGGTTGCTAAACGCAACAAACCCGATTGAAATGAAAGTTAAATACTCACGTTTTCGCCACAACGCCAAACAGACCAGTTTCACGTCGCCGACGGGACCACGACGGCAAGGTGGTGAGCACGAGCATGCGCAATATCCAACGAATGATGATGTCACGTCCGGTTGAAGTTGCCGTCGCCCCGAAAACGTCTCTATCTTAAGTTCCCTAATAAAGGCGGGCGACGGCAGAAAACCGCAGGAAGATTGGGGCGGGAGCAACGAGCTATGCGAGCGTTTTTGCGATCCCGGACCCTAGGGTCTGCATACCACGGCTCTAACCACTAGACTACAGTGGTTTCGCTGCAAAATTTTGATTTCGTTCGAGGTACGAGAACGCAACCCCTAATTTCTGTTACGTGTTCTGTGCAATTAATAAGCGAGATTTTTTGAGATTGCATTTGTGTCGAGACACATTTGCTTCGCTTTGAAGCGCTTGCTTACGTTTTGCCTCACTTTGACGCGCTAACTCACGTGGTGATTCGTGTGTCACTCGGTGTTCATCTTTCAAACGCATTTGCTGAGGTGCGAGGGTTATTCTGTCCTCAGTAAAGCGTTCATCTTTGAACGTTTGCTGAGGTCTGCTGTCCTCGTAAAGCGTTCATCTTTTAAAAGTTTGCTGCATTTTCGTAAATACACATTTCAAGAGTTTGCTGAAAGTCTACTATCGATCTGTGTTTGCTGAACCTTCCAAAGCGTTTGATTCCCTGAGTAAAATTGTACTTTGGTTTTATTCATCATATTTTTCAGCATGGTTCGTCACTGTCTTCGGAAAATGTGTGCGACTCCTGGTGCATGCATCAAACCGGGTTGTTTAGCTCGGCGTCAGTTGTGCCACAAAGTAAATCTACTGAGTTGTGTAGCTCGGCGGCCGTTATGCCACGAAGTAAATCTACCGAGATGTGAAGGTCGGCGGCGCCATTTCATCATGACTTGTGATACTTTCGGCACCGGACGAAGGACATTTTAGCTCTATGTTATTTATTCGGAAAAACTCTCTTATAAACCAGCCCACAGTAGCGCCACTCAAAAATTCACTGAAATCAACACACTCGACCAAAGTACTGCAAAAGTTATTGACATGAGCCGCACACACATTCCACTGAAGGCTTTGATGATCCCCTTGAAACGTGTAAAATTGAAGGGTATGGTGTAAGTGAACCAGTGTTCAAACACAATTTATTGTGCCCCCGGCGTTCACCACAAAAAATGTGGTCTTGTATGCTACTATTAAGCCAAGAAGAGTTGCCAGTAACGGTTTCATTTTGTAATAAATCTCGGTAATTGTCTACATGTGGAATTCCCAATATATAAATTTAATGATTACACCTAAAACTTTGTAAACTGTTTGCTTTTTAACAATAACTGGGTCGGGTTGTTCAAAGCCGGGTTAAGATCACCCAGGCTTAGTGCGAAATTTGAATTTAGATGTGAAAGCTTAAAAGGCAAATTCAGTTTAATTCATTTTGTCAACAAGCTTGGATGCTCTTAAAAGTAACAGAGAAAATTATCCAAAAAAATGTTTTTAAACAAAAGAAAATTGAAGAAACCCTGGTTAAGCGGTGATCGGCCTTTGAACAACTGCGCCCCGTAGAACATCTATTGCACCAGTTTAAATAGTGCTTTCGCTGTACGCAAACATTACGTTCAAAATAAGCCATAACCATATTTATCTATCGCAAGAACCATCCACCCTTCCCCCTCAACTGCTACCTGTAGGCCTAACAAACATGTCGAACGCACTCTCCTAAGCTCCGATTACTCCTAGTTTATTCAAATATTTAGACTTAGCGAGAACTCCAACCGAAAATAGAAGCTAAGCGTTAACTCTACTCACTATTCTTTAGCCTGCGAGCAAGCTCTCCATTTGAGGGATATCGTGAAAAGTAGACACGCGAGAGGAACGCGAGAGGAGACTCGCGAAAGCGTGGGGCAGGGGATGAGAGAAAGGAAGGCCCTTCGCTGCTTCGCCGCTCACAGGCTAACTATTCTCAGGGCTTAACCCTAATCAGTATGGTTAGTGTTTAACCCTAATCAGTGTCGCCAGTGCTAACCCTAAACACTATAGTCAAAATATCGGACTGCCGATCATTTAGTGCGGTTTTGTAAATCTTGACTAGGCGGTTACCGACTATATAGCCACAGCGTTTAAAAAATGCATTCTGTGTATTATAAAAAGCTATTAATATTGTTCTCTGAGCTTAGTTAGTCACAACTGTACAGATACCAACGATCACAGCGTACGTGGAAAATGACCATTGCTTTTACTGCGCTAAGAGGCAGCTGTTTTTGAAGCAGACATATCTTACTAAGCGGACCTGAACTTCAGAACACAAACTGTACCGACACGTTTTCTGCTGCGGTAACGAGACATAAACAACAGACCTCAAGTCGCCTCCGAACGGCACTTAATTCAATAGTGAAAGGTTTTTCAAATTCATGGCCCTGGTAAGTGTTTCATTTTATCAATCCTATCCAAGTTTTGATAGATATAGTATGCTTTCCATTGACAACATAAGCCACCAAGTTCTCCTGAGCAAAGAATATTTCCTCTAATCTTCATTGCAACGATTCGACAAATATTATGTCTCTCGCCACTTCTGCTAATGCGTATCTGATATCAATTCTTTCCATCGTGAATACCGTTTGAACACTCCAACTTTTCTTTGAGATTACAGCCACATAGTCCCATTAAACCAGATTGAAGTGACCTCCTAGACTTGAACGTCGATTATACCTGATTTAGTGGTTTCAGGAGCAGGTGGTGTAACATAAGTGGGCAAATTCCCAGAAACGTATAATGATCCGACCTTCACTACGATGTCATATACTATTGATTGACCGTTTTCTCGCCGGGCGCGGTTACTTTTTCCCTCGGGAGCCTCTCCACCAATTGGAAATATCCGCACTCACAGAATGCGAGTTGAAACAATTTTCGTGGGCCTTCCTGGCAGGCGCTCCCTCTCCTTTCGCGTATCTGCCTCTAGCGCGCCCGTTCTTTCTTGCGCCCACTACTCCAAGCGCCTGCTACGCAGGCTATTGCCGTCTTGGGGCCTGAAGTTCCTCCCAGTTTCATTGTTTTCGTATTTCTGCTGAACGCACAACGCAACCTTGGAGGGTTATTATGCTTGCAGCACGATCAGAGAAGTAATTACTCAATCAAATCCAGGCCCGTAGTTATCAACGATTTAAAACAAAGTGATATTATTTATTTATAAAAGCGACTTAACAACCTTAAGGGTTTGTTTTTATATTTTTCTGAATTGCTATTTTAATAGTGCACGAGATTTGACATGCTGGTCCCAGCTCTTTAGCGTTGCTTGCACGATATTGAAGCTCCTATTATAGCAACCCTACTCTTGAAAAAAGTTGCACTGTCAGTCGGTCAAAAGTGTTACTGGCATCAGTCAACTTCAAGCTCTTTCATGTAAATTAGAATTATGCAAGTCTTAGAAGTATTATCATTCCTGCTTTTGAGGTGACAGTTGCTACGTAGGGATCAACATTACTCGTAACTCAGTTTTGTATTTTGTGGCGAAAGCGGTAGAACTAAACCGTTCTAACTAGCTTGATGTTGACCTTTCGAATTTATGAGGGCGTCTCATTTATCACTGCCATTTTTACAAAGGGTGGATCTTGGATGCACTTAGGAGATGAGAGCATGAATTGTTCCATTTATGTGTAGCTCTTTGTCTTTGAGGATAGTTTAAAATATCTGCAGTTTTCAGTAGCCAAAAAGTAATATTTGCGGTACAACGGAGGCACTCTCTACTGGTTTTTAACCACGCACATCTATTATCTAAACAGACAATGTTCTGAAAGAAGTCGCTGATGTGTTTGCTAAAAAGCACCTAAGGATGTTTGAGTTTGGCACACTACTGAAACATCATGCTGATCAGCAGCTAAACTAGCGAATAAGTCGGATTTACAACTTTCTTCCTTTTTTTTTTCTTTTTAGTAGTGACATTGACATCTGCCATTCTTAAAAACTGTAAAAGAAAGTAGTCTTTTCGCCAAAAAAGCTAAAGAAATCAATTTGAAGTCAATAAAAAAAAAATTGAGAAATATCCATTTGATATTCTTAATGCAGTCTTTACCCCTAGAGAGTTGCGCCGCCGGCCTCGTTTGGTCCGTCTCCTTGTCGAATCGCACCCACCCGCGCCTCAAATCTCAATTCGTTTCTCAGATGTTTTTTTTTAAAATCATCTTTATTATGGCTCTTGCTTATATGTACCTGTAAAGAACACGCTGTTTTAGTCTCTGTACAGAATGTTTGGGCCTTCATCCACTTTTTATTTATACTTTATTACTGGGCTATTTTAACGCAGGATGTTGGGTACGAAAAAGCGGGACCAATAAATTTAAAAGTGGCGAGTAGAAAAATGAACCTAATAGGGAAAGGCCGGTAGGTCGGTGTTACTCGGACTCAAGCGACTCAGGGGATGAAGATACGTCTGAGGGGGACCATCCAGGGAATGTTTTTGTACATGTGTCTGAGATTGACTTCTCAATCTTTCCTTAGACGCACACGTTATACACACCTCGTCTCAGATCTATGACTTCCAAAAAGTGATCACGGCATCTGCAAGAGACGGAAAGCTGAAACTAAAACCAAGGAAGTTACTTCATTGTGTGTGTGTGCGCGTTAACTGCACTCGTTTGAGCTGGAACATTGACAGATCAGCAAAGTCGCTCCCGCATCCCAGATCAAATCTAAGAACTACAAACAAAAATACAGACAGAGTTGTTGAAAGCGAGGGCCCTTGACAGTTACATGCGCATCGTGAGCAAACTCCTGTTGAACAGCTATCTCATTTTAGCTGGCAGTGTGAAAGCGCTGTGCCAAGTGTTACTACACTGACTGGAGTGCTTGAATCTGGCTGGGAACAATTATAAGTTAAATAGACTCTTTGAACGTAACTGATATGAAACATTCACCACTGATTCACTGATTCACATTGTACCTCCCTCCAGTAATTAATCAGGGGCTGTCTACGTGGAAGTAACTTGGGAATAATTTCTAGTTCGTTTAATATTTTTCTGCGGTCGAGAAAATTAAGGAGGCGACAGGTTCGACTGTAATAATCATATTTAATATGTTAACAGTATTGATGATCCATTTGTTATTAAAACAGCACTGTTACCCATGCCAACCATTGAAACCCCACATATCCTCATAATCCATATACTTCCTCAAAGTACTTAAGTTGAGAGAATTTAACAAAAGATGTAAATCATTTTTCCTCCTTGATTATTTTAATAATTTTCATAACCTGTTCGCTTGAGTTGTTTTGTTAGGAGAAAACTGATGCTGATCGCTGTTGGCACTTCAAGGGTTAATGAAGTCAGCCTTTCAGTCACCAGTCGTGTCACTTACATACGCTACAGCGCAAAATATACTTCGCGATCGATGTTCCGATTAAACTGACTCTCTCTTGAGATTTTAAACCTTTTTTGATTTTCCCTGCTGGATGACCGTTCTGTTTGTTCCACTCGAGTGGATACAGAATCTACGGGCAGAAACCAATCATGACCAATGTTATGAAGAGCAAATTGACAAGCAAACGTCTTATCAAATTTGCATATGATGATTTCACAAGCGAAAGTGTGAAATCGTCAGTGACACAGTACATGCCTAACTCGTAGCAGCAAGTAAAAAAAAGTGACTAAAATGAACATGATATTATGTTATTGAAATTTGGTCTAGCTTGTAAAACTAAAATGGGTGGATTACAATGGGATGATGTTTACACGGTTTTTATGACTGAAACCTTCAATGGAGAAAATGCAAAACAGGAAAAGTGATTTGCAATTTTGCGAACAAGAAAATTTTCGGCTGCTGTTTATCGGTGTCCTAAAAGGCCCCTGATAATGTAGTAGATAAATCAAAGATCACTTCTCTTTTCTCAGTTCTCAGAAGAGTTACGAATTAGAGGTGATTACTTAGATTTTTTAAGTCTTTCGATGGATCACGGCAAATCTGAAAAGAAACCCAAAGGGAAATGCTTCTCTGACCTGTTGTCTCCACACTTGGTCATTTTCTTGTGTGTTGTGTTGGCTGCGACGTGCGCTGCATTGGTGGTCGTGATTCTTGGGATGGGGGATGGATAGGCGTATTTCTGCCTTGGAGGAACTGCGTCGTGAAGGCAAGCAGGCCCCCTCTACTGTTAACAATTCCAGTGCTACAGTGTCTTCCGGATTGGGCACTAGAGGAAAGAGGGCAATTTCAAACACAACGCCCGGTCAGAAATCAGATGTTGAAAAGCGATTGAAGGCTGTGGAAGAAAGGTGAGTTAATGAAATAGAATAATCAAGTTAAACGCTCCCTAATCTTAGCATTAGAAATCGATCAGTCAGTTTTCGTATAGAATTGCGTGGAAATCAGGATGATTTTTTAAAATCATCCTGATGGTCATACTATTAAAATAGTATGACCATTAAGGGGAAAGGGTCAGTGTGCCTTTTTTGCATTAACAGACTCTAAATTTATGTGGTAATGAGTTAAGGGAACTTATGAAGAGGAAAGTAAAATAATTAAGGCTAGGAAAAGAAAAGAAAACTAAAACGTTGGTCCCTCGAAGTTTTCTGTCAAGATGTTGTTAACAAATAGGCTTCCACGACCGCCTGGCCCACAATTACTAATGAACAGTGGCGCTTCGCTAGAGTCGTCACAATATCAGGACCTACTAACAAGCTCTGTTTTGTTAAACAGAGAATTTCAACTGAGCAGCTTAGAATTGTCATTTTATATAAAATTGTGCCAGAAATATCATTATGCCACTGATAAAAATTACGTAAATTGGATTTATAATATTTGATTTCAAACATCCGCTGCCTCTTCACCCTTCCATGTTTATGAAGTTAACTTTTTTGGCATGGAGCTTTGTTCGCAAGAGTCCGGGGGAAGTATTCCTGGGAAATCCTTGTAGGGGTGTGCCGCCCGTTTCTCCAAATCCTGACCCTATTTCAGAGCAAAGAAATGTCTTTTTCCACACCCGTTTTCACACCTTGCCTCTAAAATCCATACCCGTTTCCAGACCTAGCCTTTAGGCAGAAATTATGTCATAATTACTTAGATTAGAACCCTAGCAAAAAGATTTCTTTAAGTCCGTTTCGAATTCGCATATTTCTCTTTCTTTCTTATTCATTTGGAATTGAAACGACAAATACATTCATACACTCCCGTTGTTCCCTCGAAAACCATACCCGATCCGTGGAGACGTGCATGACATGATTCTGAGAATGAAAACCGAAAAATCGCGGTTCTCAATGATCGAAAAGGGCAACACATCTTGTTTATGGCCATACATTTACAGACTTTTTGTTGTAACTAATTTGAAACTTCGAAAATGTTGTATCCTTCTAAACTGTGCCAACTATGACAAGAAAAAACTTTAAATGCCCTTTATAATTGAGACGTAAAACAGAACTGTAACAAAACCGCGAAAATTGACATTAACCGCTAAGGAAATTAATGAAAATCCGCAAAGATCAAGAGCTTAGGACTGCAAAACTGAAAAACCCAACACTCAATTAACCTCATCATGTCTTCTCTTTTTTTTTTCTTTCAGGGTCGGAGCGCTATTTAACAGGTCGGGATTTTTTCCCAGCAAATTGAGGGTCCAAAAGCGCTATTCCTACATAATTCGAGGTATTGTGATTCACACGTAGCGTGAAAAAAGTTGGAATTCTTTCTGGTCTTTTGAGGGCTCTGATGTGTAAAATGGTAACTGGGATTTCCCAAAAGATATGATCTCTTGGATTTGCTTATTTTTTTCACTAGAAAAATGAAGTTGAGTTCACTAGAACTAGGATTGGTTTGTTTGTTTGTTTGTTTGTTTGCCACTGCCTACTGAGACAAACTAGGGACAGTAAGATCAGAAAAAAAGTAAGCCTGGGAATATGGGATTTGTCATATCAAACACACAGAAAATGGAAGAAAATTTAGCTTTCCTTGAGACTTGATCCAATACTGTGTTGCGTTTTTTCAAGGCATGTGAATAACTTAACTTTAAATTTCGTTTCATTACAGGACGGGACGGCCGCGATGGAAAGGATGGCCCAACAGGTCCACCAGGATTGCCTGGAAAACCAGGGATACCAGGCAACCCTGGATTACCTGGTGTTGGATCCCCTGGGAAAGCTGGGCCGCCTGGTAAGGACGGTCCACCTGGCAAATCTGGGGCAAAAGGTACTCAACTTTGATTAACTTTATATTTCTTTAACAGAGAGAAAAGTAACAGTAAATGTTATCTTCACAGGGTCTATCTAGATTATGTTTGTAGCTTTAGTTTAATCCTGCAAACACAATTGAAGGAGACATTTCTCACAAAATCTTTCAACCTTGTATTTCTGACTACTCACAGGAGATGCTGGTAAGCCGGGTATTAACAGACCTTTTCCAGGCCCTCCCGGTCCCAAAGGAGAGAGAGGTTCTGCTGGAAGTCCTGGGTTGAAAGGGCCTCAAGGACCAAAAGGCGAAAACGGAAAGGAAGGAGCTGGGAAGTCTGGAGTGAAATATGTTCGTTGGGGAAGGACCACTTGTCCAGGAGGTGCTGATTTGGTTTACAAAGGTATGTCGACTCAGTCTTTTATATATTAAGACATTTTTCTTTACGATCTGATTCATGAAAAAATAAATAGATAAATAAATGAATGAATAAATACATAAACAAATACATAAACAATTTTTGTCTCCACATGCAGTTATGCTTCAAATTTATTCTGCCATTGTGCTTAATACTTTGCAGGTATAATAGGTGGAGAACGTCACAATCATCCAGGTGGTGGAGCTAACTACCTGTGCCTTCCACACAATCCCAAGTATGACAGGTATAGCGATGGCAATCACCACTCAGCATACATGTTCGGAACCGAGTATGAAGTCCCTCAGTACAATGGAAACCCCTTCAAAAGTAATCTCTATAAACACGACGCACCTTGTGTTGTCTGCTTTGTCAAATTACGTGGTTCATTGCTGATGATGCCCGCAAGGAACGACTGTCCATCTGGATGGACCAAGGAGTATCACGGGTACCTGATGACTGAACATCACAACCACCCGAACCAAAAAGATTTCGTCTGTGTTGACAGAGACCCAGAGTATGTTCCTGGTAGCCACGCCGGCCGAAGGGAAGCTTTGCTGTACCCTGTAGAAGGTGCTTGCGGCTCACTACCGTGTCTTCCTTATGTTCAGCATCGAGAACTGACATGCGCTGTGTGCACAAAGTAGATTTAAGCTGTAATATAATATCTGTAGAATAAAAGTAAACCAAAGGAGAGAAAAAAATTAATAAAGTATCGTAGTCAATATGTGTTGATGTCAGAGTTGATGTAAAGGTGATATAATTCGCAAAAAAACTGATACTTCGAAGGGTGCGCCAATCCATTCTTTCCCCCATTTATCGTAGTCCGACTGACGCAGCTGATTTTGCATTAAAAAAGTGACTTTTACCGAAGCTTACCGATAGTCGCCCGCTAGCTAATGGATGTTTGGTGAATGTTTGGTTCTCGAACCCAGGTGACAACCCATCTATGCTCCGGCATGGAATGGTCTCTAAATCTCATGTATCCCATAGCAACAAAATACTTATTTCAGCCTCTCTTTGCAAGCTCATTCGTCAGCACTCCAGTTTAAAGGCTTACATGATAATAATAATGCTACAGTACAACTCGAAATCTAACTTTCTCCAAAACGGCATCAAAATGCAACTAAAGAAGCCAAATGACTGTACAAAACACAATACAAACAAAAGGTAACTCATTTTTATCTTGAGACTTTTAAAAAAGCGGAATTTAGAACATATTTTATTTCTTGTCATACATTCTTTTATAAAATTCAATTTCCTACGAGCTCCCATAGAGAGCCTGGGCTTTCGTTGTTGGCACTTTCCGGATTTGATGGCCTACGTACACGGAGGTAACATGTGAATAGTTTCTGCATGGTTCCTTTTATTGTCCTGGCAGTCATTTATAGAGATCTGAGGAGTGAATATAGATGTATGTTCAATTTATTGTAATAATTGTATTTAATATATTAAAAGTGCTTTTGTCTAATACAGCAGTGTTACCCTTATTCGTGTAGTTGGTCTCCATGACCAGGAGGCGCCTTGCGTTGTTTGCTATGTCAAATCACGTGGTTCATTGCTGATGATGCCTGCACGGAATGACTGTCCATCTGGATGGACCGAGGAGTATCATGAGTACCTGATGACCACATTAGTTACAACCACCCGAACCAGAAAGACTTCGTCTGTGTTGACAAAGACCCAGAGTATGTTCCGGGGACTGATGGGAACAAGGATGGTGCCTTGCTATACTTCGTGGAAGGGGGCTGTGGTTCACTTCCGTGCCCTCCATATGTTCTGCATCGAGAGCTGACATGTGCCGTTTGCACCAAGTAATAATTAACGTCTCTCGTCAATCTCAAAGAATCAGCTTGTAATCATGGCTTAATTTAAAAATTAAAACTAGAGAACTAAATGAAAATCGATCTTGAGTCAGTTTGTATAACTACTATAAAAGCTGTCTAGCCTGCCTGGCAGGCGTCAGTTAATGTCTTTTTGGTTGGTTTTAGAGGACTCCAGCCTCCTTTTCTTCCCTCGTTCGAGCATGCTTCGATTCCTTAATATTTCTGATCTCCTCTGGCTCAAAAACTCTGGCTCCTGCTGGGCAGGCTGAAAGCTGTCACGATCTGAAAGGTTTGAAGGTACTTTTTCAAAATGTAGTAGGAATGAAATTTAGGCTTTGCAAAAGCTGCGAAATTGCGATCAGTTATTCATTATTTTCTCGATCTAGTCTATTTGAGTACTCGCCCAGCCCCTGGACAATGATCGTGCCATGCCACTGATAGAAAATAACATGCACAATATAGAGGTAGTTTTGTTCTTACACGAGACTACAAAACAAGTATCTTTACTCGACATGCTTCTTGCAACATAGCAAACAGAATAAGAAAAAAAAGAGTTGTTTGCATAAAGTACACCGTGGAGGAAATGAGAAGAGACAAGAGGAGAGGAGGGCTGGTGAATCTTTGTTACTGTTCTTGTTTCCAGGAGATTCAAAGGGCGAAGATAGGTCTGACTGAGGCCAATCAGCTGTTGTCTCAGGAATGTGTTTTGTGCATGTGTTTAAGTGTAAGTATAAGTCTCCGGTTGTCCTGTCACAAACCTTGTTCTTTATTCAAGAATTCCTAAAGGCGATAACGCTTTCAAAAGAGAAGAAAGACTGAAATCCGTATAACCCCCAAAGCATAGAACTTAGTTCATTTAAGGTGGTTCGACTGCATTTTTCAGGGGCAGTATGTACCTCCCAAGTTTGAGGATTCTACGTCACCATTAAAAAAAATGCAGGAAAATAATCACTACAGCTGTTGGGTAGACAAAGATAAAATTTTTCACGGTCAATCTTATACAGTTAACCCTCCATGTGCGACCACCTCCCATAAGCGACCGCCAATCTCAAACATCAAAATTTTTCCAGTCAAAGCGTTACAGTTGGAACCTCTAGTGAACGACCACCTCCTGTAAGTGACCGTGAACCTAAATTTCAAAAGTTGCCACCTTAATTTTTTGATATTTTTATATTAACGTTAATTAAAAGCTTTATTTTTCGTTCTTCACAATAATTTCTAACATCGGTCAAGAAAAAAAAAATTAAAACAACTTAAAAAATAAAAATAAATTTAAAAATAAAAAAAAAAAATTAAAAAAATCGAAGTTTTCTATCAATCTTTGATTTTTACGTGCTTGTTATGTGCTCTAAACCTATTGTGATGAACAATGAACATTCAACCAAAGAGAACTTGATTACGTAATTAAGCTTAGTTTTGTTTTGATTTAGATAAGATACGTTTCTGTTCTGTTTCATTTATCGAGTTTTTACGCCCCTATTTTCTTGTACTATTGTTCACAGTTTGAATCTATTACTTAGCTAGCCATTCCTGTTTTTTTAACCAGTTTTACAACTGTACACGTGAATTGTACTCTTATCAGAGAACGCCCCTTTAGTTTTTGCGGAGTTGGAGTTAGGAGATCTACGGAGCAACGTCGGAGTTTTCAGAGCGGTTTTATCTTTTTCGGAGTTACGTAACGTCGGAGTTTCTCTAGCCCTTAAGACAGGATCAGACGTAAGTTTCAGCTTATTGTATTTAGTTTTCGTTTTCCTTTCAATTTTGCTTCTTTTGTAATTAGCCTCAGCCCCTTTTTTGATCTTGTACATTGTAATTTCCCCTTTTAGTTTTCACCGCATGTGTACAATAATTCAGACGAGTTGGTGATCGTATTAAATGCTGTTGAGTCAACTTGTGCTGTTAAATTTTATACTGTGGTTGACACTTCCCGATCTCCAGTGCACAACATCCCGTGTCCGCTGCACTGGGTGCGCGACACCTATATTTTCCTCAAAATTTGCTCGAGGTTGCTAGAACTGCAAAACGTGTGTTGCTCCAAACGCCAAAAGTTGCTAAACGTTGCGGAGCACAATCGGGAGAGGCCTACTCTTCTCGGAAGAGTCCCCCTGTGGTTCGATTCCTGTAAGCGACCACTCAGTCTTTACATTTTGGGTGGTCGCTTGCGGGATGTTCCTACTGTATTGACATATGACTTATTTCTTTCTCCTAGTTTCTGACTAAATGACTTAAGCAGTTATGCCGGATACGTTGTTATGAAGCCTTTAATGGACAAATTCGAAACTGGAAAGGTAATTTTGCAATTTTGCGAACACGAAAATTTTCTGTCTCCGTTTATCAGTGTCCCAAGGCCCTTGACTATGTAGTAGATAAATTATTCTCTCTTGTTATAGATCAGTTCTCATTCCTAAACCATTAATAGAGACAATCTGCTTCATTTTTATTACCATTTTTGCACCTCAGTTGGGATTGTAAAAATTCCTCAGGACGTAGTTTCTTGTATAGGACAGTCTTCTGGCAACTGTGGTATGTAGCGCCTCTTAATGGAACACGCAACAGACGCAGAACAGTTAGCCAAAAAAGTCTCGTATTTTCGGAAAATAGGGCAGGTGATAACTTATAATTAGTGTATTGGCTGGGGAAGCTGGACTTTGAAAGTTAAAAATCAATAGGAAGTGCAAGTTATTCTGAGTTCTGAGTTGGTGGTGATTTTACTAAGAATTGATCACTCGAGGGTCGACTTGCCTCAAGAGCCTATATGAACATCAGATTGTTTAAAACTGTAGAAATTTACTAAAAATTGGGATAGTTAAGAAAGGATAACAAAAAAGCCACATCGTGAAATCCAAAACACAAGGGCCGCGACTGCGGTAACGCAATTTCTCAATAATACTTTAATCCTGTTTTGTTGTTAGTGGTGATGGAAACGTACAGAACAACACAATTACCCAATAAGGCTACTTTGAAGTCGCTTAAAAACGACATTTTATTTTTGATCTAAAATCTAGGTACCTGTTGTTGACAGCAACGGAACAGTGAGACTAGCACATTAAATTGGCAGACACATTCTGTGACAATTATGTGTACTGGTAGTCTGCGTAGTAGCAGGAGGCGTCGAAAGGGGTGGGGGATTGGGAGGAATTTAAGGGAAAAGGGAGGGGAATTGGAGGGTCCTGTAAAGTGCCGAATAGAGTGTCCCAGCGTCAGCAGTCAAACGTGCCAAAAGTTAACCTTCAACCGTCAAAAAAAGTTATATTTTACCGTCAACCGATCTTTAAGGTCTGTAGCTTTGAGCTCCTGAAGAATCTCTGAGCTGGCCAGTTTGGCATGTTGTCAAAAACACACTCTGTAGTTAGACATTACGAGACTTTAAAGTTTGCTTATAGATGAAAATATTTCCAAATCGTAAAAGCGAAAGGCCAAGAAAACCTCCAAGACCCAAAAGTTACTATTGATTTATTCAGAAATAAATACAGTGAAACTTCGATAAAACGAACCTCTGTATAACGAAGTCCTTCGCATAACGAACGATTTTCTTTACCGCTGTAATAGTAATTAACAATTATTCCTCGAGCCCGAATGGGCTCTAAGTCAATAGCCCATGAGGCCGAAGGCTACCTTTGTTACCTTTTTGCCGCCAAAAAGCCTGCGCTTTTCGCCACTAGTGGGCTATAAGATATAGCCTAGTAGTAGCTCAACCAATCAGAACGCAGCATTGATAATAGACCACTAGCTGGATTTTACTAATGGAAAATAACCTCGATATAACGAAAGCTCGTTTAATAGCGATCAAATTTTGCCAGTCCCCTGGCCCTTCGTTATATTGAGGTTCCACTGTATATACATAAATTCTTGGAATAAATTTTCACTTAATAACCGTCAAAAGCTCTAAAATTTAACCGTCAACCGGCGAAGCTACCACCCCGTTGAGGCCCTCGAATTGAGGGATAAAGAGTAAGTCTCCCTTCCCTTTTCCCTTTCGCACTTTTCCCCCTCCGGTCCAACCCCTCCCCTGTTTTTAACTGTATTAACATGGTCTTACAATGCCTAAACAGCTTAAGTACATAAAACTGGATTCTCATAAGTTATAACAGGTCTTTTCGCAAACAATGCATCCTGTAATTACATGTACCACAAAATACCTGCAGTCAGTCAATACGAAAACCAAAGGGGCGGATCAAACTAGCTGACCACCTTGCGTAACAAAGGTAACTGTTTTTAGAAATAGCTTAAGGGACTGTTTGAAGAATGGTATCTTTGAGACCATTAGAACTATCCTTATTAGAGTGGTGCCTTTATTATAGATTGTATGAATTTTGTTATTTTTGTGACTAATACGACTCTAAGTTCGTATGGCAGATGTGGTGGAGATTCTTTAAATTTGGAAATCCGTAAGGGGCAGTGTCTGTATTACGAAGGTGTCTATAGGGAAAGGTTAGACTGCAGTAAATAATTTTCTTGTTTAGGGACCAAAAAAGTCTCTCAAAAAGAAGAACAGCAAAAAAGTTGCTATCTTTGTTTCAAAATTTTTGTGCCTTTGTTGGTTTCTTTGCAAAAAACCAATTAAAAAGTTAAAACGAACGTTACACCACAGAGTCCGGCCTTCAACAAAGATAATTTCTCACATGATACGTTTGATGCTTAATATCAGTCTGTAGAGTTTTTTGAATGTCACTAGCCTACTGGAAAGCTTATCCTCACCTGGTGCAAACAGGGCATGTCAGCTCTCGATGCTGAACATTGGGGAGACATGGAAGAGAGCCACAATTCCCTTCCACGTGGTACAGCAAGGCGCCATTCTGGTCCGAATTACTCAGTGTCATGAACATACTCTTGGTCTTTGTCAACACAGAGGTAATCCTTTTGGTTCGCGTGATAGTAATATGCAGTCATCAGGTACCCATAATACTCCTCGGTCCATCCAGATGGACAGTCATTCTGTGCTGGGATCATTAGCATTGAACCACGTGACTTGACAAAGCACACAGCACAAGGCGCATCGTGATCATAGAGATTGCTCTTGAAAACAGACCCACTGTAATCACGTCCAGTTTTGATAATTTGTTTCCTTATTTCCGCTGAACGCACATTGTAACCCGTAAGATTGTTATGCGTGCAGGACGATTTTGCAATTTCTGTATTTTAGTGGCAAGAGCCTGATCTAAATTACCCCAAACAACGTCACAGTAGTCCACATCGCAGACAGATAGAAAAACAAACAATCACACGCTTTATTACAGCACGGAGACAAGTTTCTTTAATTCCAGACAGACAGACAGACTGACTGCCTGAGTGACTGCCTGACCGACAGACAGACAGACAGACTAACTTAAGTATGGAAGTGAATCAGAAAAGTAATTACACGATGAAATCTCAATTCTTTCGTCAGACTTTTTTAATAATCATCTTCAAAAGTATTAAGTATAATGTACCTGTAACGCACACGCTGTCACAGTTACTGTCGGCAGCGGCAGAATGGGCCTTCATCCACTTTTTATATATATTTTATATCGGGGCTGATTTTGACGCAGGATGCTGGGTACGAAAAAGGGAGACAAATAAAAGTGGCGAAGAGAAAAATGAACCTAAGAGAAGAAGGCCGGTGGATCAGTGAAGATCTGTCCAAGGGGGTCCACCAAGGGAATGTTTTTGTACAGGTGTCTGAGACTGACTTCTCTATCTTTCCCTAAACGCACACGCTGTAACTCTGATGAGATACCCTGTCCCAGATCCATAACTTCCTAAAGGTGGTAAGGCATCGGGAAGAGATGGAAAACTGAAATGGGATATCCTCTAATAGCAAGGAACCTAGTTGTGTTCGAGTGAATACACTCCTACGCTTAAACATGGACAGATCGGCAAAGTCGCCCCCGCGTCCCATATCCAAGCGCTACGAACAAACTCGTTTTGAAGCTTTCTCTTATTTCAGCTGGCAGTGTTAAAGTGCTGTGCCAAATGTAACTACATTGTAACAAGTTACAACTACTAAGTGCTTGCATACCTTCATAGCGCGCTTGCAGGATTTGATGGCTACTTACGGCGAAGTAATGTGCGAATAATTTCTGGTTCGTTTAATTTTATCCTGGTAGTCATTTATATATAGAGAACGAAGAACTGAGGCAACCTTCATTTTAAAAAAATCGTATTTAATGTATTTACATTTCTGATGATCTTATTTGTGGTGCAGCAGTCACTTTGTGTCCGTATTTTTTCATTAGGTTTCTCCTTTCCATGCTTGATTATTGTATTAATTGTTCCAGTCGAGTGGATACAGAAATTTATTCAGGACCCAACGTTAAAAAGATTCAATTGGTAAACAAATGTCATGAAATTTGTTTGATGTCTACATGTGTGCAAACGAAAGTGTGAAATAATCAATAACACAGTACTTCTTATAAGACAGAGGATCTTGATGTGCTTAATTCTAACTCGTACGTTAGTTAATTGAAATTTGCTAAAATGCACACTTTATTCTTTTCCCAACCTCGAGTTTGGCTAAGCGTTACGAATTAAAATAGGTCGACGTTGACAGCGTTATTATGAAGCCTTCAAAGGACAAAATGTAAAACAGGGAAGGTAATTTGCAATTTTGCGAACACGAAAATTTTCTGCTAGTCATTTATCGGTGTCCAAGGCTCTTGATATCGTAGTAGATAAATTAATTACAGAACAGTTCTCGTTTCCTCAACCAGAAGAATTACCAATTGTGCGAAAAAGGTGATTTAATTGTGGAAGTCTTGAGATGAATCACGGTAGATCTGAGAAGAAACCTAAAGGGAAATGCTTGTCTGACCTAGTGTCCCCACACTTGCTTGTGTGCGTTGTGTTAGCTGCGACGTGCGCTGCTTTGGTGGTTGTCATTCTTCAGATGGATCGTCGTATTGCTACGTTCAACCACACTTTGGAGGAACTGCGTCGAGAAGGCAAACAAGCCTCTACTGCTAACATCTCTGCAACGGTGTCTTCTGCATTGGGCACTAGAGCAAAGAGGGCAATTTCAAACACAACTCCCGGTCAGAAATCAGACATTGAAAAGCGAGTGAAGGCTGTGGAAGAAAGGCGAGTTAAATGAAATCAGATTATAATCATCAGTTTTAAGACGCTCCCTAATCTCAGTATTAGATTTCAGTCAGTTTCCGTTATTAAAGAATAGCTCGGACATGAGGATGGGTTCTTAGTGGTATGGCTATTTTGCTGTTGTTAGACGTGCGCGTGAACGGTCAGTGTGTCTCAATTTTTGGCAAAATAGACTCGAGAATGAATGGATGTAGTCAATAAGCATTGTAGTGAATTTATAAAGACGAAGGTGAAATACAAGCTAGGGAAGAAAAAAAATTAAACTAAAACGCTGGTTCCCCAAAGTTTTCTGTCGAAATGATGTTAACAGTTAGCCTTTCATGACCGCCCATACTCCAATTAGTAATAATGAAAAATTGCTCTGTGCGTAGAATCGTCATAGCTTGCGACGGCAAGCTCTTGAGGTGCTACTAAGCTACTAGAATTAAAATCCTGCCAGAAATGCACGTTAATGCAAGTAAACTGTTTTTGGCAAGGAGCTCTTGCTAGTAAAAGTAGCAACAACAAAATTTATACAAGAAAAACACTATGTATGCCCCAGGAAAAACATCAATGCGAGTTGATAGTAACTGCAAAAACGTCCACTAAAACTCAGCAAAAAAAGGCTTTTTTGTGACCAATTTGAAACTTTGTAACAGTTTTGTAGAAGTTCTATCTTTCAGTTTAGAATGGAACAACTGCGACACGAAGTTTTATAAAGACGCAAAACTTACAGAACTTCACCAAAAACGCAAAAACAATAACCGCTCAAAAAACGAAATTCGAAAAACCCGCAGAGATCAAAAGCAAAACCGAAATTGATTAAAACCACAAAACCGTAAACCTAGCAACTCAGTTAAAGTTAGGTCATAATTCTTTCTTCTTTTCTTTCAGGCTCGGAGCGCTAATAAACAAGTCGGATTTTTTTGCCAGCAGATTGATGGTTCAAAAGCGCTATTCCTACATAACTCGAGGTATTGTAATTCACATGTAACGTAAAAAATCGGGATTCTTTCTAGTCCTTTCTTTGAGGGCCTTAATGCGTAAAATGGTAACTGGGATATGATCATTTCCTTGAGACTTGATTCAATACTATCTTGCGTTAGTTATTCCACGCATGTAAATAACTTCACTTCAAATTTTGATTCATTACAGGGCGGGACGGCCGCGATGGAAAGGATGGTCCCACAGGTCCACCAGGATTACCAGGCAAGCCCGGATTGCCTGGTGTTGGGTCTCCTGGGAAAGCTGGGCCTCCTGGTAAGGACGGTCCACCTGGCAAATCTGGGGCAAAAGGTACTCAACTTTGATAATTTTTCCTTCTTTAACAGCGAGAAACTGAGCATAAACTGATTTGGTACTTTTTCTGGAAGGATCCTTCAACCGTGTATTTCTGACCTCTCACAGGAGATGCTGGTAAGCCGGGCGTTAACAGGACGTTTTCAGGCCCTCCTGGTCCCAAAGGAGAGAGTGTTAAATAATTTAACTTTGGATTTCCCTTCATTACAGGACGGGACGGCCGCGATGGATTACCTGGAAAACCAGGAATACCAGGAAACCCCGGAGTACCTGGTGTTGGGTCCCCTGGGAAAGCTGGGCCCCCTGGTAAGGAAGGTCCACCTGGCAAATCTGGGGCAAAAGGTATTCTACTCTAATTAACTTTGCTTCTTTAACAGAGAGAAAATGAGAAAAAAAGAAATGTTATCTTCATAGTGTCTATCGAGATCGAGCTATTAGCCGTACTTGACATTTTCCAAAAAAATTTCAACGTTGCACTTCTTACCACTCAAAGGAGATGCTGGTAAGCCGGGCGTTAACAGACCTTTTCCAGGCCCTCCTGGTCCCAAAGGAGAGAGAGGTTCTGCTGGAAGTCCTGGCTTGAAAGGGCCTCAAGGAACCAAAGGCGAAAAGGGAAAGGAAGGAGCTGGGAAGTCTGGAGCTAAATATGTTCGCTGGGGAAGGACCACCTGTCCAGGAGGTGCTGAGGTAGTTTACAAAGGTTCGTCAACACAAGCACTTTATGTAAATCAACACTGTATTCTCTGAAGCACAGAGTTTTAGGTACTGGTTTAATAAAGCAGCGCTAAGTTATTTCCCTTTTTTCCCCTTAAAGTTAGTGACAGAGACCATTACTGTGACATTTTAAGTTTGCAGAAACAGTATTCCACTAGAAAAACTGGACCTTTCACAGGGATAATATAATGCCTATAATTTGTTACTCTGTAGTCTTTTTATAAAGGTGCAAATCTTCCCCTCTTTCACTCCAAATGCCCGATAAATTTGTGACATCATGAACATTTATTTATTTATTGATCGCAGATTGAAGAGAAGTTTCAATAATAATTACGTTTTATCTGATAGAGGTTTATTAGTGTGACAGTTTGAGTGCAGTAAATGCAGTAAATAATTTGTTTTCGACAACTCGGACCCACATGTGATATGCAGTTTGTTATGACGATATTTTGTTCTTCGGTACTGACAGTCACCAAGACTAAGGGGAAATTTGTGGCGAGGTCATTTGAGAGTGGAGTGATGTTCCCCTATAAGCCTGTTAAAGTCAGTGTAGTTTATCATCCTCAGGTTTGATGGGAGGTAACTCTCACCATCACCAAGGTAGTGGTCACTGCAAACAGATGATAAGAGTTTTAGCAATTACCTTTTACCTCAGAGATTTATTAACGTTACAGTTCGCAGGCGCGGATCTAGGAAAAATACTGACCTATTTCCTAAACTGAACGAGCGCCGAAGGCCCAAGCTTTCAGCGAAATCCTGGGGAATGCTCTCCCTGGAAATTTTTTAGATTTTAACTTAACTCCCTTAAGTCCCTTTTCTTGGGTTTCTGAGTCATTCAGACAGGATATTAGCCAGTTTCATTTGCCTTGGATGAAGCATTGCAACTTGAAAAGCTTTTTCTTATTAAAAATATATTATGAAAACTCTGACCGATTTCCGTAAAACGGTGGAAACCGGTGTGGATCCGCACCTGGTTCGAGTGCAGTAAATCCAGTTTGTCGAAACAATAGTTTGCTCTATTGTGCTGTCAGTCACTAAGAAAGTGAAATTTGTTGTGCGTACACTTTATAGGAGAGTGATGCACCTTTGTAAACTTGTAGTTTGTTATCCTCAGGTTTAATTGGAGGTGAACGGTGCAATCACCCAGGCGGTGGAGTAAACTACCTTTGTCTTCCACACAATCCAAAATACGACAGGTATAACGATGGCAATCAGTACTCAGGATATGTTTACGGTGCTGAATATGAGGTCAGTTCCTACAGTGGGTATCCTTTCAGACGAAATCTCCATAACCATGAGGCGCCTTGCGTTGTCTGCTATGTCAAATCACGTGGTTCATTGCTGATGATGCCTGCACGGAATGACTGTCCATCTGGATGGACCGAGGAGTATCATGGGTACCTGATGACCGCGTATTACAGCCACGGGAACCAAAAAGACTTCGTCTGTGTTGACAAAGACCCAGAGTATGTTCCGGGGACTAATGGGAACAAGGATGGTGCCTTGCTATACTTCGTGCAAGGGGGCTGTGGCTCACTTCCGTGCCCTCCATATGTTCTGCATCGAGAGCTGACATGTGCTGTTTGCACCAAGTAATAAAACATTTCTCGTCAATCTCAGAGAATCAGCTTGTAATCATGCCTTAAATTAAAAAATAAAAATGGAGAAGAAAATGATCGATCATGAGTCAGTTTGTATCACTACTATAAAAGCTGTCTAGGCTGTCTGGCAGGCGTTAGTTAGGGTTTTTTGGTTGGTTTTATAGAGGACTCCACCCCTCCTTTTCTTCCTTCGTGCGCGCATATTTCTCCTCTCGCCCAAAAACTCTGGCTCTTGCTGCGCAGGCTGAAAGTTGTCATGATCTGAAAGGTTTGAAGGTGCTTTTTCAAAATGTATCTCAAAGGTAGGAAACAAATTTAGGCTTTGCAAAAGCTGCGAAATTTCGATCAGTTATTTATTATTTTCTCGATCTAGACTATTTGAGTACTCGCCCAGCCCCTGGACAATGATCGTGCCTTGCCACTGATAGAAAATAATATGCACAATAGAGACATTACCCTACATATAGTTTTGTTCTTACACGTGACTACAAAACAAGTATCTTTACTGGACATACTTCTTGCAACATAGCATTAAAACAGAATAAGAAAGAAAAGAGTTGTTTGCATAAAGTACACCGTGGAGGAAATGAGAAGAGAGAAGAGGAGAGGAGGGCTGGGATGAATCTTTGTTACTGTTCTTGTTTCCAGGAGATTCAAAGGGCGAAGATAGGTCTGACGGAGGCCACTCAGCTGTTGTCTCAGGAATGTGTTTGTACATGTGTTTAAGTATAAGTATAAGTATAAGTTGCCGGTTATCCTGTAACAAACCTTGTTCTTTATTCAAGAATTCCTAAAGGCGACAACGCGGTCAAAAGAGAAGGAAGACTGAAATCCGTATAACCCCCAAAGCATAGAACTTAGTTCATTTAAGGTGGCTCGATTGCAGTTTTCAGGGGCAGTATTTACCTCCCAAGTTTGAGGACTCTACGTCACCATTAACAAAAATGCAGGAAAATAATCACTACAGCTGTTATACAGTTGACCCTCCATGTGCGACCACCTCTTGTAAGCGACCACCTCATGTGCGACCACCTCTCGTAAGTGACCACCTCCTATAAACGACCGCCTATCCAAAACACCAAAATTTTCTCAGTAAAAATTTTCCCAAATTTTACAGTTGGAACCTCTAGTGAACGACCACCTCCTGTAAGCGACCGCGACCACTTTTTGGGCCCGATGGTTAATGGTTTTCTATTGTTTTTAACCTCTTGTTAGCGACCACTTGACGCATTCTCTGATCTCTTTGTTTGCTGCTAAGAATATACGAAGAACTTTAGTGACAACATGGAACTACACAAGGCGTAACTTAGATAATGCATGCAATAAGTATCTTCCATAAAGTAGATGTATCTGGACCTCTTCTCTAGGCCTTTCCCGATTGTGCTCGTAAAATGCTGGAAAGTTGGTCACTGGAATGCCAAAAAGTTGCTAAAAATTTGCCAAAAATCCAAAACGTTGCTACTTAAATTTCAAAAATTGCCCTCTAAACTTCTTGATATTTTTATATTAACGTTAATTAAAAGTTACCAACATCGATCAAGAAAAAAAAAATTAAAAAAAAAATTAAAAATAAATTATAAAATAAATTATACAATAAGAATAAATTTACAATAAATTTAAAAATAAAAATAAAATAAAATAAAATTTGACGTTTTCTGTGAAATCGATGTCTTTTTCGTGTTTGATATGTGCTTGAAACCTATATTTTGCTCAAAATTTGCTCGAGGTTGCTAGAACCGCAAAAAGTTGCTCAAACGTTGCCGAACACAATCGGGAAAGGCCTACTCTTCTCGGAAGAGACCCCCTTTGTAAGCGACCACTCAGTCTTTGCATTTTGGGTGGTCGCTTACGGGATGTTCCTACTGTATTGACATATGACTTATTTCTTTCTCCTAGTTTCTGACTAAATGACTTTAGCAGTTATGCCGGATACGTTGTTATGAAGCCTTTAATGGACAAATTCAACACTGGAAAGGTGACTCAGTTGCAATTTTGCGAACACAAACATTAACATAACATAAAACTTTATTTAAACTCGAATTTTAGGGTAGCTAACAAGCTAACATCTTCGAGCTGACACTACATAAAAACTATATAGAAAATATATATATACATTGAATGCAAGGAAAGAAAATATCATTTACAATTCACAATTTTAAGTTTAAGTATGTCAGGCAAAAAGAATCTACATGAAGGTAACATCCTGTATTTTAGTCTTAAAGTCTGCAAAAAAAACTGGTACGAAAAAAAGTCCGGCAGTGCATTCCACTGCTTAGCTGAAAAAGTAAGAAAAGGAGTTAAGACCATAGGTAGTTGTTTTAGGTTTACTTAGTGAAAGAATGTAGTTGCCACGAAGATCATAGGAAGAGGACCGGGTGAAAACATATTCTTCATATAATTAGGAAAATGAGTGAAAAACAAACTCTTATATAACAGAATGAGGAAATTTTGAATGCGTTTGTTAAACAAAGAAGTAGAGCTGACTTTTGAGAGAAGAGTGTTGTATGGAGACGAGTAATCTCCAAGTATAAATCTAAGTATTCTTTTATTTAAAGCTTCGAGCTTATCTGCATCGCGCGCTCCACAAAAGTGCCAGACAGAGGAGCAATAATAAAAGTGAGGTAAAATATACGCTTTGTAAAGTTTGAATAAGATTTCCTTGCGTATGAGTTTTCTAAAGCGCAACATAACATTAAATTGATTATTAATCTTTTTGCATACATTTGATATATGTTTAGAAAAATTCAGATTCATTTCTGATTTCATTTTCTGCTGCCGTTTAACAGTGTCCAAAGGCCCTTGACTATGCGGTAGATAAATTATTCTCTGTTGTTATTGATCAGTTCTCATTCCTAAACCATGAATAGAGACAACCTGCGTCATTTTTATTACCATTTTTGCTCCTCAGTTAGCTTCAGTTGGGACTGCAAAAATTCCTCAGGACGTAGTTTCCTGTATAGGACAGTCTTACTGGCAACTGTGGTATGTAGCGCCTCTTAATTCATGGAACACGCAGAACAGTTAGCCAAAAAAGTCTTGTATTTTCGGAAAATGGGGCAGGTGATGGCTTAGTGTATTGGCTGAGGAAGCTGGACTTTGAAAGTTAAAAATCAGTAGGAATTAAGTGCAAGTTATTCTGAGTTCTGAGTTGGTGGTGATTTTACCAAGAATTGATCACTCGAGGGTCAACTTGCCTCAAGAGCCTATGAACAACAGATTTTTTAAATCTGTAGGAATTTACTAAAAATTGGGATAGTTAAGAAAGGATAACAAAAAGCCACATCGTGAACTCCAAAACACAAGGACCTGACGACTGCGGTAACGCAATTCCTCAATAATACTTTAATCCTGTTTTGTTGTTAGTGGTGATGGAAACATACAGAACAACACAATTACCCAATAAGGCTATTTTGAAGTCGCTTAAAAACGACATTTCATTTTTGATCTAGAATCTAGGTACCTGTTGTTAACAGCAAGTGAACTAACAGTGAGACTAGCTCATTAAATTGACAGACAAATTCTGTGACAATTCTGTGTACTGGTAGTCTGCGTAGTAGCAGGCGTCGAAAGGGGTAGGGGATTGGGAGGAATTTAGGGGGAAAGGGAGGCGAATTGGAGGGTCTCAAGAGGATTTTTAGCGTCAGCAGTGAAACGGCCTAAAATGGTTTAACCTTCAACCGTCAAAAAAAGTTCTATTTTACCGTCAACCGATCTTTAAGGTCTGTAGCTTTGGGCTCCTGAAGAATCTCTGAGCTGGCCAGTTTGGCATGTGTCAAGACTTTACAACTTTCTTATATCTGAAAAAATTCCCATGTTGTCAAAAACACATTCTCTAGACATTACAAGACTTTACAATTTGCTTATAGATAAAAATAGTTCCAAACCGTAAAAGCGAAAGGCTAAGAAAACCCCCAAGGCCCAAACGTTACTATTTATTTATACAGAAATATATACAGTGGAACCTCGGTATAACGAACGTCTGTATAACGAAGTCCTCCATATAACGAACGATTTTCTTTACCCCTGTAATAGTAATGGAAAATAACCTCATATAACGAAACCTCGTTTAATAGCGATCAAATTTTGCCAGTCCCCTGGCCCTTCGTTATATCGAGGTTCCACTGTATATACTTAAATTCGAAATTCTTGGACTAAATTTCCACTTAATAACCGTCAAAAGCTCTAAAACCAACCGTCGAAGCTACCACCCGTTGAGACCCTCGAATTGAGGAGAAAGAATAAGGCTCCCTTTCCTTTTCCCTTTCGCACTTTTCCCCCTCCGGTCCTCCCCCTCCCTAGTCTGCTACACAGCAGTTCTTAGAGTCGTCACGCAACGCTCCTCCCAACTAACTAGGAGGGGAGGAGCGTTGCGCGACGACACTAAAAACAGCTGTGTAGCAGACTACCCCCTCCCCTGTCTTTAACTGTCTTAACATGGTCTTACATGGTCTAAACAGCGTAAGTACATAAAACTGGATTCTCATAATTTATAACAGATCTTTTTGCAAACAATGCATTCTGCAATTACATGTACCACAAGAAGAATGGTATCTTTGAGACCATTAGAACTATCCTTATTAGAGTGGTGCCTTTATTATAGAGAGAGAGATTGTATGAATTTTGGTATCTTTGTTACTAATACAACTGTTCGTATTGCAGATGTGGTGGGAATTCTTTAAATTTGGAAATCCGTAAGGGGCAGTGTCTGTATCACGGAGGTGTCTATAGGGAAAGGTTCGACTGCAGTAAATAGTGTTCTCGTTTAGGGACCAAAAAAGTCTTTTTTTTTCAGTCTCTGGTTTTTTCAAAAAGAAGAACAGAAAAAGGTTGCTATCTTTGTTTCAAAATTTTGGTGCTTTTGTTAGTTTCCTTGCAAAAAACCAATTAAAAAGTTAAAACAAACGTTACACCACAGTCAGGCCTTCAACAAAAATAATTTCTCAAATGACAAGTTTGATGCTTAATATTAGTCTATAGAGTTTCTTGAATGTCGCTAGCTTACTGGAAAGCTCATTCTCACTTGGTGCAAACAGCGCATGTCAGCTCTCGATGCTGAACATATGGAAGA